CGGTCTCTGTGCACCGAATATTAACTGTAAACTATGGTCTGGGTCAACACTTAATTTGCCCTCGAGTTTTCCTCCACTTAATTTTTAGAAACACGAAGCACAAGTAACGACACAGTCCAAAATGCAAAATATTTATCATTTCTATTTGACATAATTTGACACAAAATTATAACCTATAATTTGGCAAGAGTTTGACAATTCTCAAAAATCTTAAGTCGAGTTCATACGCATATGCGTCCGGTTGTCGTTCATCGTTGCTTCAAACCAATAATATTTAAATATGATCTGTCATTTTTGAAATAAACCAATAAAACTGGTTAAAAACAACAAGAGACTACGCATGACGTATTTATTTATAAACCCATCCGTAGTTAACTTAAAAAATATTAGAAACTTTTTTTAGTGAAATAAATGGATTGGTATGGAAGTCATCTGCTTTTTTTCTGTCATCGTCTGTGGAAATCTTACCTGAGAAAAAAAACAGAGTATACTTATATTTTTTGCTTCTTATTGTCATTATTGTTACAAATCCCGCATTTTTTCATAAGCTTTTTACACAAGTATAATATTACTACTGACGTCTTTTCAAATCCTTACTTAATTTTAATAAAATAGTATATTTAATAAATCAAGTTAGGATGCAAATATCGTATGATCGAAAAAAACCCGGCGTCCAGTTGGCTGTGAAATGACGATCGATGACATTTCCCATATAGATTTAGATATAAATGACGGCGTTCTTCATTTCATAGCCAATGTTTATCATACTGCAACAAAACCCGCCTTATCCGAATTATTTTTGTGTTATTTTTCTGTTTAAAAATTAAATATTAATTTTTATTTCTAGTAAAACGAGATACAAAACAATGATTCCACTTAATGGACACGTTTTTTGTAAATTAACAAGCACAATAATTGCAATAGTTAGCTTCATTTTTTTCGATGTCTGTTTCAAATAGCAAAATTCTCAGAGGGTCTTCAATAAATACCGGATGTTTTTCAAAAGTGGCTCACCCCTATAACTTTTTTATTTTTGCAGACATAAAAACCAAATTCGGTATGCTATTATATGAGGTAAACCACGACTGATTGACTTATTCATTTATTTTCGGTCACTTCCTGTTTTAATTGAAATTACTACAACTTTTTATTTTTAAATGGTACCCTCGGGATTTCTTTTACTTTATTTCATAGAACATAAACAATACAATTGTGGGGCTGTGCTAGTAAAATCAATCAAGAAATTATTCAGCGATTCCAAAACAAAGTACTAAGGAGCGTTGTCAACGCCCCCTAGTATATCCCATGATACAAAGAATACAAGGTATGATATTGCGCAGGTTGGTCACTACGTCACAGGTGATAAACGGCACCATTGGTCGGCAAGTTCCGCGCGCCAATTTCAAATTGTCAAACAGATGACACACTAAATGTCAAAATAATTTTTCAAATGTCTAGCACGATTATTTGACCTAACTTTTAGGGTTATGTCCTAATTCTTCCCTATTTTAGGTCTTTGAATAAGAAGACTAAGGAAGGAGCATAATGCTATCCATGTATTCATGCATGGTGGGCGGAAAAGCCACCATAAAAGCTCTCTAGGGTGGGGATCCTTGACAGTTCTGTTTGACGATTCATTTGACACATTTGAATTTGATTTGAAATTTTGTGGATTTGTCAGTCTTTACGGAGCTTATTTTATGTTATTTATTATTTATTCTACTACTGATAGTTGTATAAAGGTAGTAAATCTAGATAGAAATTGTGGCAGAACTTAAATTAACAGTGACACTATCGCGATTTATCGAAAAAGTCTCTAAAATAGTTGGTTGTGTAGCGTGCGGTAGATCTCGGCAAAAATTGAGTGAAATAATGGAACAACTTTTCGCTAGTAAGTAACTATATAATATACATACGTGTAGTAAACCGATCATTTATGAAATTCACTTAAATTAACTAAATTATATATTTTTCTTGCATTTTAGCTTTTATTTATTACTTGTCAAAGATTAGATGTCAAAGAATTTAGATACGTTAATTTGACTTACCTGCTTCAGTAGCGTATCGGATGTTTGTGTTAATAAATACTTATTATAACTTATCTATTTTTATTAGAATTATATATATTTATGACAATTTTAATAACTACCAACATTTACTCACAACGTAAAATAAAACTACAAATTATTGAGTCTACCCCACGTCTACCCTACATCATAGTTTTACATTTTTTTAAATAAAATTAGAACGACACTGATAAACCGGAATTTAAGTCGGCCATATTTGAGGCCCATCGCGGTGTACCTAAGATTTTTGATATGCTCCTTCCTTAGTCTTCTTATTCAAAGTTTTAGGTCTTTTTTTATTAGTGGCAATTGCACAATATGGATATTTTTTTGTATGGCGTATGACGTCACAGGTGGTATGCGCAAACTTAACGAAATTGGGGCCGCTATCGATCATACCTTGTTTTCTTTGTACCATGGGTATATCCGAAACAGTGACCTCCACAGAAGTGGACACAGTTACCCAAACTATTACGTGCTATTACCTCATTCGCCAAGAGACACGAAGAACGACTTCACCACCACGTCAACGTTGAAGCCATCCAGCTAGCTACTCGACAACACAACCCACATCAGAAGGCTTAAACGGATCAAACCCTTGGAACTGGTTAATATGTGTTAGTGAAAAGGCAAATAGTGCTTGTGTACGCGATAATATTAGTGTAATTAAGTTAATAGAAGAAAATAAGGAACCCTAGTGAGTAAGTGCTTAGTATGTTAGAAAAAAATTGCTTATTGATCTATATTAGATCAGATTGTAATTATTGTAAATTCCCTCCAGGGTAATTTCCTAATAAAAAAAATTATAGAAAATGACATTCTGAATAGAACGACATCATACGATATCAAAACGATATCATATGTCAACTTTTGACATTTTCGCTTAACAAAATAGTATTTTAAATTTCACTCTAAAGTGCGTTGACACGGGGTGTTCATACGGCAATGTGATTTGAAATATCAAATATGTGGTACCAAATTATTCGTTAAAAATTGATTTTTCCAAATATAATGAGCAACTCTCGTTTGATTTGTAAAGTTGATCTATCATTAAGAATATGATTTGGACATCTTTTCACCGGCCTGGACAAGACACGAAAAACGCTAGACGATGAAATCCATTTTTCCAAAGCACCTTGATAAAATAAGTGGTTTTAAGTTTAACTCTCAATTGAAATTTTAAATATTTTTTTTATTATACTAGTATAATATTTATTTATATGTGTTATATTAATATTGATTTTTTATCGTCGATAATAATTGACAATTTAGATATACTAAGAATAGCTCTCGGCTGTACCTCGGCAAGTATTAGCCGTAGGGCTTACGGAAAAAAAATATTTGTAACTAAAGAGGCTATGAGAAATTGCTGGAAATTATTTTGAAGTTTGTAAAACGGCCGCTAGAGGGCGCAACTGCTATGGAAAATAAGAAAATAGAATTTTTACAAAATTTTGCCTAGATAATGGGTACTATAAATAATAGCTTAATAATCTTCAGTAAATTTTAGATCTTTTTTGTTAAAACGATTTTCCTCTATCTGCTAAAGTAAAATGGTGGGGGAAGGTTAAATCTATATTTATTTAAATGTTAATAACTCCGGACTGGAAGATCAGAATCCAATAAACGAGAGCTCGTTTAAAAGAGCGTTTCTTACTCTATAGTATACCATTTTTTTCAAAAAAGTTAAATACGCTAGTACAGGGTGGCCCATCGAAAACGTTCCGCAAGACATAACGACCAGGATATATTTTTTTTAAAAATCCAAAAACACGTCAATTTTGTTTGTGAGGGGGACAACTTTTGCCCTAAAAATGATTGCAAAATCTTCAACTCTCTAAGCGGGGGTGTCATCCACCAACTTTTTTCAAACGGGAAGGGGGGTCAAGTGGCACCGTAATGAAAAGAGCTTTCTATTCTTTATATTTCCCCGCTTCGTTTTTGAAAATCGGTCGAGTCATTGAGAAAATATGAAGGATTGAAATTTGAAAAGTCGATTTAAACATTTATCAGAGTAAATGATAAGGATAAATTCCTTCGACCAATCTGCTGTTTTTTCTTATTATTTCTAGATGTTTACGCATTTTTTCACTTGCCACAAGGTTTTGGCAATCAGTTTTGGGGCAAAAGTTGTCCCCCCCACAAACAAAATTGACGTGTTTTTGGATTTTCTGAAAAAAAAATTACCCTGGCCGTTATGCCTTGCGGAACGTTTTCGATGGGCCACCCTGTATATGTAATTTTAGCTGATAGTAAAGAGCAGTAAAAGCTTAAAAAGTCAGCGAAAACCGTATCTTGATATCTTCTTTCAAACCGAAGATATTGGCAAAAATATAATAAATACCAAAAAATAAGCCCTTAATTACCTTATTTTTACCATTCTAACAAAAAAAAATAAGATAGAAACAGTTAGTTTATTTTAAAATCGACGAAATACCAGAATATCATAATACCATATTATGTATTAATATCTAATAATTAAGATATTAATAACAGTGAACAAGAAATGATGATTCAGTGAAGTTATGGTAGGCTTCGGAAAAAAGTTGCTTTTGACGTAATAATATAAACGTTAAATTGTTATTAGATCAACATTTTGATAGTCTTTTATCTTTTGATTCCTGTTTTAAAATGCCAACAACTTCAAGTACTTCAAATAATAAAGGAATTTAAAAGGCAATTAAAAGATAAAAAAAACGCTGCTAAGACTATCAAAATGTTTTCCCCCATGGCTAATTTAGCTAAATTCTTTCTATATTATAGAATAATGAGAACCCATTATGATGCTTAAGACATAAATTTTGATAATAATTTCCTAAATATAATACATGAAGAGCATAAATAAGTATAAAATTAAACTGACCATGAATAGGCTCTATTTTCGAGCCGCCCGCCGCTGATGATAATTATTGCAAAATAAATATATTTTTCCGAATATGTATTTATGTTGATACAACAATCAGTGTTGTCGTAATTAGCTACTATGTATTTAAATCGTTTGAAATCGCCAGTCTACTTATTAAGTGTTTTAAAGTTTGTGGTTTAAAGTTTTAATAAGAACTACAGTTACTTAGATCTAAATTAAGGTAAGAAAGACATACTTACTAATTCTTGACCAGCTTGATATTTTTCATTAAATATGCAATTTTTTTTCATACCACTTTTTAATTAACAAATAAACAAAAATAATAATTAATCAAACTATACAGGCTGGTCTATACATATAAAAAGTAAAGTGTAAGCAAGGGTACTATTTTATAATTATTGGAAATTGGGACCCTACCAGTTTCCATATCTACAACAGCCTTTAATAATTAAACAAAAGGAATTAGTAAAATAAAATCAACAAAATTACTAGTAACATTATTATACAGGGTTAGTTTTCTAAGATGTTCTCTATGGGTATCTCGGAAACTACTAGAGCTAGAGATAGACAGTCGGTTAAATAGGGAAACAATTATATAAATGGATAAATACGCGCCTTCCAGATTTCTGAAAAAGTTCATGGCTTACTAGATATTTCGAAAAAAAAAACAAATTTCGGCTATTTTAAAAATTGTTCCTTACTCCATTATAATTTATTTTAGACAACAAGTTTTCAGATAAAAGTTGTAGATAATCGCATCCTTAATGAGACTGTGTCCTCCGTTTTTTTAAAGCCTGTAATTTTTGACACATGACACAAACATATGTTTTTTTTAATGGAAAGCATAGTTGGCCATGGCTTCATAAAAAGCGCCATTTTGAAGCTTTTCGGCGATATAAGCTATAATATGTTTTTTTTTCGAAAAATTACTGAGTTTGGGTTATAGCCAATTCTCATCATTTTAAAACAATTTCACTTAGTTAGCCACGGAAACAAATTTAATCGTCAATCGTCGTTGCTTTCAGAAATGCGAAACTGTCACATCCAAACTTTGTAAATTCAAATAAACAAAAATTGTAAACATATATCTTTCAAATGAAGAAAAGCTTGTAGGATTATTGGTTAAACTTCTCTTAGCCATACATTTTCGAGGATAACGTTACTTACGTTTTTTAGAGAACGGTTTTCAAGACATGTTAGAAAAGTTAAATTTAGATACTGGCGGACCAATAATGTGGTTCCAACATGATTTTCATTATGACACCCTCTCCTTCCCCCCATAATGAAAGAAATGTTAAAAAAAATTTTATATCATAATTATGCAAACTCAGGGATAGGAAGAGGTGAACCAATTGCATGGGCCTTCTCGATTATCTGACCGATTCATTTTAGATTTTTTTATGTGGTTTTTATGTTCACAACAATGTTTACAAAATACCATGAATTAAGAGAGGCACAAGAAGAGGCGGCACGGGGGAAGTTTAATAAAGTCGACCGGTCGTTCTGGGAGAATAGCTAGTAGATAATTCAGTTTTATTATTATATTATTTTATTTATTTTATTATTTTTTTTTCAAAAGATGCATTTATGTGCTCGAAACAATGGCGGGTTTTTTGAACATTTTCTAAAATAAGTTATATAAGTGTATGTAGTGATATTATTTTTTTAAGTTTTAGTTTGTGTAATGTAAATTATGAAGAACAGTTTAATAATATATTCTCCCTTTTTATAAGTTATAAATCATAACAGAATAAGAACATCATGCAATCTAAGTGAAATTGAAATTGAATTTAACTTTTCTAACATATCTTGAAAACCGTTCTCTAAAAAACGTAACAGTCACCGGTCAACGTATCCTCGAAAATGTATGGTCAAGAAAAGTTGAACCAATAATCCTACACACTTTTCTTCATTTGAAAAATTCATATTTGTAATTTATGTTTATTTTAATTTACAAAGCTTGAATGTGACAACTTCACATTTATGAGAGCAAAGACGATTAAACTTGTTTCCATGGCTAATCTCCTACAAATTATCTATATCTCTCCAACATATTTTGGAATAATAGTTACGAGTCACTGACGTCACTGTATACTAAGTACGGTTATTTTTTCAGATGTTCGTATTTTGGTCGGTCTTCTTAGGCTTATTGGCCATAACGTATTTCTTGATATACAAATACGTTACGAGGAACTTCTCATTTTGGAAAAACCGAAAAATATTCTACATAAAGCCTACACCTTTCTTTGGAAACCTTTTACCAGTTTTTACAATGAAGACCACCATTGGAGACTTAATCATGGACTTCTACAAGCGCACTGAAGATGACTACTTCGGAATATTCGTTTTGGACAGGTCAGTCTTAAAATACTCTAGACAAATAAATCAACCACAATACACGAAAACGCTAGATCATAAATATATACCGGCTGTTTTTCAGAAATAGCTCACCCTTATAACTGTTTTATTTTTTCAAATAAAAAAAACAAGTTTTGGAATTTATGTATGTGACATAAATCAGAGTTCATTCAAGTATTCAATTAGTTTCGGTCACTTCCTGTTTCACCGGAAATAACTAAAACTTTTGATTTTTAAATGGCACCATATCTTTCTATATTTACTTTTTTTTTGAATGACATTCTGAATAGAACGACACATCAAGTGACACATCAGATATCAACTCTTGACATCTCAGCTTAAAAAATAGTATTCTAAATTTCAATCTAAAGTGCCATAGCCAGAAAACGAAAACATGAATTCGGAAAAAAATAGTGTCAAATAGTGTCATTGTTTTGAGTGGTTGGATTGACCCAGAAAAGTAACATACCAAAAGTCCCCAGTCATACACCTTGTGCGTGAACCGCGGGGGGAGGGGGAAGGGGTGAAAAAGACCGGTTTATAGGTTTTTTGTTATTATCTCGAAAACTAAGCATCCTAGCGAAAAAAGTTCTATACAAAATGAAAGTAAGTTTAATTGTTCACAAAAAAGGTTCTATTCATTTTTTCACTGTGAGCTGTAGTTAAGGGTAGGGATGTCGCAAAAATAAAATAAGTCGATATTTTGAATCGATTCAAGATCGGACATAACAAGATCGATCCTGAAAAAAATCGGTAACCAAAGATCGATCTTATTAAATATCGATATTCGATTCTGAGGGTGCAGCCACACTATCCTAAAAACGGCGTATCGGCGTAACGGCGTAATGACCTTGAATAGATTTCCAGTAATTCTATTGGCTGAAACATTCATCTGTCAGAAATTTTATCTGTCAAATTCATCTGTCAAAAATTTCAGCCAATAGAATAACTGGAAATCGATTCAAAGATCGTTACGACGACCACACCTTAGATAGTGTGGCTGCAACTGAATGTATCGGTGTACTGGTATAATAAAAAATACGATATAATCATAAAAATTAGATACATAAAAATCGTAAAACCGTTTATTAACACATTTAAAATTGAAACTGAATAACTGTCATCCCAAACTGAATCAGAAACACCCACAAACCGAGACATACTTGTAAAAATTAAAAATACTATAACAATATTAAAATATAATTATTCGGCTTTTTGCATGCTTATGATGATTTTGACACAGAATATGTACCGGTAAATTCTGTAATTTTGATATATCAGTCGGTTGGAAAGAAGCTAAAATCAGAAAATATTCTGTTATCTAAAATATAAAAATATGGGAATCACCGACAAAAATCTGACACCTAATATCAAAGTGGTAAACAGACATTGGCGCATGCGGTAGCGAGCACTTACACTTAATTTTTCATTGCTAGATGGCGGAATTTTGGAGTTGTTATTAGAGATGCACCGGAATCAAATATTCAAGCAAAACTAAAGTGTTTTTTTGGTTACCGTTTTTTTATTCTAACAAATAAATAAACCTGTAAAAATGTATAAATAAAATCGATCTTCGATGTTGAAAAAAAATCGATTCTACCAAAAGATCGTTTGATAAAAATCGATCGATTTTAATCGATATTTTCGGCAAAAAGATCGATCTTCGATTAAAATCGATTCGAATCATGCATCCCTAGTTAAGGGGGTATAATACTTTGCAAATACGAATAGGTGGAAAAAACGTGTATTGTGGAAGATTAACACTTAACACAAACCAGAATTTTTTTTATAAGTATATACCTAGGTATTTAAGTTATATAAAGGAAAATAAATTTCTTGCAGTTTTTAGGTGTACAGGGTTGTTCACCACATACGACACGGAGTATTGTAACTAAACGATTAGATTTTTACAAATTGTAAGTTTTGGGTTCGTTGAACGACTATTAGAGCTACAATTTAAAAATATTTTACAAGATACAGAGTGTCCCAAATAAGTAAAAAATATTATAGTTGTATTTTTTTAAATGGAACACCCTGTATATTATTCTATTTTTGGATTCTACGTTTGAAATAAAGGTAAATTTGATTAAGGTTTATCACACTTAAACCTTACCGTTTATGAAATATTTTCAATTTTATGAAATTGCAGTAAAATTTTTAAGGCTTCATTTCTCCAAGGGTATCAAAGTTTTTAATACTAAATATTTACTGAAGATTATTTATTGATCAGATATTGTGTTGCAATAATAAAACTTTTACTACCTTATACAGAGTGTCCAAAAATTCATATTAAATAATTACTAGCTTTCAACGGCAATAACTTCTTTAATTTATATATATTTTAAGTGAATCAGATGCACAATGAAATTGTCTATCAAATTGTATTATACCATTTTTTACCCATCTCTTCAAGTTTTCATAGAAAACGATTTTTTTTATAATTTAGACCTCATTAATCACTATGCCCATGGAATATTGACATTTTAGCTTATTTTTAAAGATGTAACAAATTTTCAAAGGGTACAGATACTAAAATTGTCGATATAGTGGCTTATTTAATTAAAAAATTAAAAATACCGTTTAAATATTTTTTTGTTAAAGAGGACCAATTAATATGATCCCAGTATTCAAACTACATTAATTGACTGTTTACGTTGATTAATAATAATTGCTCCAAATACTAAAAAACTGAATTTTGTGTGTGTATTAGACAGTGTGGTAAAAAGTAACACCTTATAAATTTTATTTCATTTTTTGACGAATGCTTATTTATAAAAACTGAGACGTTCATTTTCATAACTTATTTTTATATTGATTTCTGGGCCAAATCCACATTTATTTAGAATACTTTATTAATTAAAACAATTTAAGTATGTAATTAACTAATTTTTGGTGTTTTTGGTCGGAAATGTCAATATTCCATAGGTATAGTGATAAATGAGGTCTAAATTATAAGAAAATGCATTTTCTATAAAAACTTGAAGAGATAGGTAAAAAATGGAATAATACAATTTGATAGACAATTAAATTGTGCATCTATTTCAGGTAAAATATATAGGGTGTTCTATTTAAATTAACCAAGTTATTGCCGTTTAAAGCTAGTAATTATTTAGTATAAATTTTTGGACACTCTGTATAAGGCAGTAAAATTTTTATTATTGCAACACAATATCTAATCAATGAATAATTTTCAGTAAATATTTAGCATTAAAAACTTTGATACCCTTGGAGAAATGAAGCCTTAAAATTTTTACTGGAATTTCATAAAATTGAAAATATTTCAAAAATGGTAAGGTTTAAGTGTGATAAACCTTAATCAAATTTACGTTTATTTCGATCGTAGAATCCCAAAATAGAATAATATACAGGGTGTTCCATTTAAAAAAATACAACTATAATATTTTTTACTTATTTGGGACACTCTGTATCTTGTAAAAATATTTTTAAATTGTAGCTCTAATAGTCCTTCAATGAACCCAAAACTTTTTGTAAAAATCTAATCGTTTAGCTACAATACTCCGTGTCGTATGTGGTGAACAACCCTGTATAATAATTAGGTATATAATAAAATTATATAACCAGAATTTTTTTTTATAAGTGTATACCTAAGTATTTAAGTTATATAAAGGAAAATAAATTTCTTGCAGTTTTTAGGTATATAATAAAATTATATAAGAGTTTCTTGCCTTGAACTGCTAATATAGAAATTAATTCCACGCCATGTTTGACATAATATGGATCGACCTTCTCTCACTACCGGTTTCGGGGCCCTACCTCATCATCAGGTGAGCTTGGGTCGTTTCCACAATATGTCGAGCACAGCGCAGAGTATATAAACACGACCTGTCGTAAAGTAGCGGTAAGATATTAAGTCCCGCATCGCGAGATTTTCCATTATATAATTTGGGCTAGCCGAAAAAAGCCTTTATTTACTATCGATAGTTGTACTTCGGTGGTACGAAAGTACTACCATTGCACGCAGGCCACTATCTCGCGATGCGGGACTTAATATCTTACCGCTACTTTACGACAAGTAGTGTTATATACTCCGCGCTGTGCTCGACATATTGTGGAAACGACCCAAGCTCACCTGATGATGGGGTAGGGCCCCGAAACCGGTAGTGAGAGAAGGTTGATCCACATTATGTCGAACACAGCGTCGAATTAATTACTATATTAGCAGTTCAAGGCAAGAAACTCTTATATAATTTTAAGTATTTAAGTTTATATATGGCAATATCAAGTACTTTATTGTTCGAGTTCATCGTCAAAGTTATCATCAAATGCGTCGCCGTTGATGCCGATGATTGGAGGACCGTTGCACGGTGAAGTATTAGCATGAAAAAGGTGATCGAAATTCGAAAAGGCAAAGGTGTTTAAGATTTCCCAAAAAAAGATAAATGATAAGTTAAATCATGTCTGCCATGAATGGCGTTGCTATGGGTCTGTTAAGTAAATAAATTTTATGTTTAAGATTATAAATTGTTGTTGTTCTTGTGCTCTTTTTACGTTTATATTATTGTTTTCATTGAAAATGGCTCAGCAAGCTGCAGGTATGTATTCTACAAAAACATATTATTTATTTTGATATTCTCTATACTAACGATTTTTTTTACAACTAAAAGTTAGGCGTTCAGAAAATTTGATTAAATTTGTGACATTTTTATTATACTTAGAGATTTAGTTGCGCATTTCGAAGAATTCAGCATATTGTCTATATACGTTTTACTTAGTAAACAATGAACTTTCATACAGTAAAATAAAATACTGCGACTTTTTGCGACTTTGCTGATAAAATGAGAAAAACATTCTTGGTTTCCTCTAATTTGCAAATCAGTGATATACTAATGCGAGGTGTAAACCTCGATGGCATTGTTGTTTACAAAGCGATCGCATTAGTGCCATTAGCAGTATAGCACAATTTGGTATTAGTATCGGCTTTAGTGCTATGGGCATTGGTCGCGGATCAGTCGTAGCATTAGTAGTATTAGTTGCGATATTACTACTGGTATTAGTGGCATTGACCGTGGAAACACTGGAACAGTGATTTTTCTTTCTTTTTTTTTAGAATCGACGAATTATCCTTTATTTTGTTCATATTATTTCCTCTTTAATTGAAAATAGCAATAATTTATATAAGGTCTACATAAAAAATTTCTATCAACTATTGCTGTCAAATACCCCACTGTGCGTTGGTACACGAAGCGCGGCAACTACTGCACACAAGCGAACAGGGTATGCCTGCTTTACGGCACCCGCAACCAGTCTTGCACCAGCAAAATATATTCGGGACAGATTCGGGCGCAACTGGATCCGTGCTTGTGACAGGGATGGGGAAGCCGTCCAACCCATTCAACCATCCCCAAGCAGTTGACTCCTGCTGCTGATTTCCATGCAGCCAGTGCTGAAGCTGCAAATGATAATTAATTCGTTGTTGGCCATTACAGTTATTACAAAATAAATGTTAAGGTAAAGAAAGCATATATTGACACAAACCTGCATATAAACTCTGAGGGAGTGCTGGCGAGCAGCGCCTCTAGTAGGGGGAAGAGCCGCAAAATCAGGCCTTGGCTTTGTTGACGCTTTAACAAAGGCCTAGTGTCGTACCCGGCTCAGGTCTGCTCCTTTTTGGGCCTGGTACAATGCCAAAAAAAGCAGCTCTCCTGCATCAGCTACCATGTCCTATGTTGCTAAGGGATCAGAGAAGACTTTGTAAATGTCTGAGACCTCCTCTTCAGCCTTTAAAAATACTTTAACCACTCGTCCCTTGCTCTTGTTATAAATAGCGAGGGTAGTATCACAACCGCTGAACGAATGGTGTAACAGAATGGTCTTCGCCTATGGCAGCTTTTGGAGGTTGGCGACATTATACCAACGTGACTCCACCTTTCCCCCGCTTGGCTTAAAGAAAAGCATCTCTTTCTCAGAGGGAGTTAATGCAATAAGCCACACCAACAGGTCTATATCCTCCCCTATGACTGTCACAGTTTGATGCTGGTTAGCTGCCTGCAAACCACAGCTTACGATTTTGGTATCAGCGTCTCCTGTGGCTACTACTGCTATTAGTCCTTGAGCTTCAATTTTTTTTGCAAGAAAGTTGATGAATCTCTTCACTACTGCTCCTAGCGAAAAAATGACAAAATGAGGACCTTTTTTATAAACAATTGAATTTACTTTCATTTTGTATAGAACATTTTTTTCGCTAGGATGCTTAGTTTTAGAGATAATAACGAAAAATATATAAACCGGCCCTTTTCATCCCTTCCCCCTCCCCCACGGCTAACGCACACGGTCTATGGTTGGGGACTTTTGGTATGTTACTTCTAAGGGTCAACCCTACCATTTAAAACAATAATTTGTTTGACACTATTTTTTTCCGAATTGCGGTATTTTTTGGTGTTCGTTTCCTGACCCTGGGATAAAATCACTACATAACTTTTTTATCAAGGAGCATTGAAAAAATAAATCATCTAATATTCCCTGGACAGTTCAAAGTGACCAATTGAATTTTTACTCATAAATCATTTTTTTAGTATTAGTTTGTATATTGTTGGATTTTCTTGCTATTCAGAATTAAATTTTCATAAACACTGCTATGACCAGCTATGACACTCTATATTGAAATTTAAAATACTATTTTCTTTAAGCGAAAATGTCATGAAAGTAGTGCGTCAAATTTCAAAAGTTTACATATAAGATGTCAATGTAACTTTCTATCAAACAGAGTAAAAAAAATATCGAGAGTACCATTTAAAAATAAAAAATTGCAGTAATTTCCGGTAAGACAGGAAGTGAGGGAAAACAACTGAATGATTTCACAACACTGTACTGATTTATTTCCAACCAAATAAACAAAAATAAATTATTAGTTAAGAAGAGAAAGTCATAACCCAAAATGATGTTGATAAAATTCGTTAATAAATTTAAAATAAGTTGTTTTCAACTCATTTTCCAACTAGATAAGGACCTATAAGTGTTGTATAAAAAATGTTAAAAGTGTTATGTGTTTAAAAGATTAACTAATTTAATTTTTATATAGGCCGGTCTTAGTCGTCAGATCTCCCAAGCTTGCCAAAAATATTATGTTGAAAGATTTTGCCAGTTTCCACAACAGGGTGATCACCACTTCAGACAAGGACCCAATCCTATCCAACATGTTGTTTTTCAATAAAAGATCCATGTGGAAAGTGATTCGTGCCAAGTTAACACCTGTTTTCACATCAGGAAAGCTCAAAGCAATGTTGCCAGTGATTATACAAGAAAGTGAAGCTTTAAAATCTTATATTGATGGAAAATTGTTAGGTGTTCCTAATGTAGAAACTAAAGAAGTTTGTGGTAAATACTCCACCAATTTGATCGCTCTCACTGCTTTTGGAGTGGACGCCAAGTGTTTTGAAAACGAGAATGCGGAATTCAGGTAAATAAAAATCCATATTTGTAGCTAAAAATAAAACTAGTAGTTACAAGTATAGTTACAAATATAGTTACAAGTATAGATAAAAAATATACGTAATATATCATAATTTTTTTTTGCGTTTTTATTTTCAGAGCAATTGGTAAAGCTATTTGGGAAACGTCGTAAGTATTCTTAACTAAGTAAGTTTTTTTTATGGGATTCTTCTTTGGGATTCTCCGACGGAGGCAGCACCGTCGGAAAATGCACCAAGCTCATAGACTGATTTAAATAAAATATTTTAAAATGGTGTATTTACAAAAAAATTGCGAACTTATTTTTTGGTTTTCTTTATTGAGTATGTTATTGATAAAATAATTAATTTAAAACAGTAGACAGCAAAAAAGGTAAAGAGGTATATAAATTATTTACGTGTAACGGGTTATTTAAAAAAAACTGGGTAGTGCGCGACTGATGGAGAAATCTGAAAAAACAATATTTTCCGCAAAAAGCTCCGCTTTGAAAAAAGTTTTTACTGGTCCAAAAATTTTCCTAGCCAACAAAACAGGCCTTTTTCAAGACGTAAAAAAATGTTATAATGTAACAATGTTACCTATTCAAAACTTATGTATACGTTCTTCTTTAGATTTTCAAATGCCGTAAGACAGTTGGGTTCAAATTTTTTTCCTGGTCTTATCAACACCTTCGGCATCTCCTTTGTGAGTGGCAAATTGATCAAACAAATGAAATCGATAATAAATAGCGTAATCAACACAAGAAATCAACTGAACCAAAACAAAGGCAACGATCTTATTGACATTTTGAGAGGCATGGATGGAGCAAACATGTGTAAGTACAATATGATCGAAATAAAACGGCGTCAGCAATGGTAAATGTCACTTTTTTAAAAACTATATGGGGATGACTGTCATTGATCGTCATTTCCAAGCCAACTAGACGCCGTTTTTTTTCGATCATACGGTATTAAGTAGATTAATAGAGTAAGTACCAGGTGACCAACTAAGAATGGACAATGGAATTACTAAATCGGCCAAAAGAAACTTCTAAAATTTCATTTGAAATTCAAAAAATGTCCACTGGACAACTCATTTGTTGTGTCTAATCTAATAATGACTTTTTAAGCTAATGACATGATTCTGGCTCAAGCAGTTCAATTTTTCGTCGCAGGATTTGATACAATCAGTTCCACTATGAGTTTCACCTTGTACGAGCTCGCCATGAACCAAGATATTCAGGATAAGCTAAGGTTAGAAATCAAAGAAAATCTCGAAGCAAATCATGGTGTGACGTATGACGGATACAACGAAATCAAGTACCTCGACATGGTCATTTCAGGTAATAATTGATAATAATGAAGTCCCCCCCCCCCGGGTTGCCACGTTCAAAATGTTTCCCACATCTGTAGCTCCTATAATAAAAAACTTACGAATTTTGTATAAATGCCAACCTAAAGTATATAAACTAATCGAAAAAAATTAAGGATATTGTGTTTTAGCTAGGAAGAAAATTTTTCAGAAAAAATGTGTTATAACTATTAATACCTATGTCGTTTGTGTTTAAAAAAAATAATGTTTGTAAACATAAAAAATTGTACCCAAACAAATAAAAAGCATTATCATCAGAAATGTACATTTAATTTTTGTTGAGGATAGAACTTGTTTGCGTGTTGCTAAGCGGCAGTTTGCGATATTGTGGTTATTCTGTCATCGATAATATGAACAGACGTCATTTAACAATAGAGGAAGCAAATCAAGCCATTGGGTTGGTTCTAAGCGGTGCGCGACAGATCGATGTGGCTGATCGATTTAAAGTCACCTAAAGTGTAATTTCTAGGCTTAAAAACCAATTTAATGAGACTGCTAGACAATGCTAGGGAAAACCGAAGCTTACTGAGAGAAGCTAGAATGGATCCTGCAAGAAACTACACGTTGCTCAGCCAGGACTTTTGGCTGCCAGCAGAGTACGTATTACCCATCGGACGGTCTTAAAACGATTAAAAAAAGCAGGTTTACATTGCTATAGGCCTATAACACGCCCTCCGAGTAAAACCGCGAGAGTCAGGTTGAGGTCGTAAAGTTCAACGTTTGCTCTGGTGTAATGAAAGAGCTAACTGGAATGATGAGTGGTATACTGCAATGTTCAGCGATGAAAGCCGCTTTTCTCTTTGTACTGACAGACGTACAATTCATGTCTGGGGACTAAGAAATACAAAACTTAACGACCGATATGTTCAAGAAGGGCATCCCTTTGGAGTGTGTAGTTTGGAGGTCCAATGGTCTGGGGTGGAATTTTCTACGGAGGTCGAACGGAATTGTATGTCAGTGAAGGTACCATGACAGGTAAAATTTATGCTGACGACATCATTGGAGGATCACGGAGGACGTCTTAAAGATCGCGCACACTATACCTACACGGACCAGTACGGACCAGCACAGCACAAACCTGCATCCTGCATGACGTCGCACACTTTACCGCCACAGACCAGCAACATAAGCGAGAGTTTGGTTTGGTTTGGTTTCGAAAAAAGTACAGTTGTCAAGGCTCAACTACTAGAGCGTGCAACAAAGAAGTATTGAAAATGAGTAGTTCAGACGAAGAAATTATTATTTTAGCCATGTTGTGTGAAGAAGAGGAGGAAGAGAAGGAAGCTAAGAAAAAAAGAAGATTTTGGGTTCACCCTATAAATCAAAAGAGAAAGAAATATGGCGAATTTCATCATTTGTTTCCTGAATTAAAAAGATTCGAAGAAAAGTTTTTCCAATATTTTCGAATGTCACAAATCAAATTTGATTTTTTTTTGCTATCGACTCCCATATTGCATCTTTTCTTTCTTGGTCTCTATATATAAAATGCTTGGCTCGTATCGCACAGCTCTGGATACTTTTGTACCAGTAAAATAAGCTTTTCTTCATTCATATTTAAAACGATTTTAATGTTCGAACAAAAATAAACGAAATCTAACCTACATCATGCGACTTGAGCCAGCTAGCGTACTCGAAATACTGACGAACCCTTCAATATTTGCATGTTTGTGGAGGTGTGCTGGTTCGCCGGTGCGCACATTAGGTCGGACCAGCACGACCAGGCATAAATATTGCCGGTCATATTTGTCCCTGACCGACACGACCTGTTTTGACGGTCGTGGCTTGTGGCAGTACGTGCTGGTACTGGTCTAGTGTGCTCTACTCTATTAAATAACACGGTCACCTTCACCGGTAGATTTGTCTGGTCCGTGCTGGTCCGTGTAGGTATAGTGTGCGCGATCTTTTATAGGCCTATAGCAATGTAAACCTGCTTTTTTAATCAATTTAAGACCGTCCGAGGGGCAATACGTACCCTGCTGGCAGCCAAAAGGTCCTGGCTGAGCAACGTGTAGTTTCTTGCAGGATCCATCCTAGCTCCTCTCATTAAGTTTCGGTCCTCCCTAGCATTTGTCGACCTTGGTCTACCCTCCCTATGCCTTCTATGACAGATCCAGTCTCATTAAATCGGGTTTTAAGTCTAGAAATTACACTTTCTTTAGGTGGCTTTAAATCGATCAGCCACATCGATCTGTCGCGCACCGCCAAGAAGCAACCCAATGGTTTGATTTGCTTCCTCTACTGTTAAATGACGTCTATTCGTATTATCGATGACAGAATATCCACAATATCGCAAACTGCCACTTAGCAACACGCAAATAAATTCTATTCTAAACAAAAATTAAACGTACATTTTTGATGATAATGCTTTTTATTTGTTTGGGTACAATTTTTTATGTTTACAAACAGTATTTTTTTAAACACATAATTTTTATAACGACATAAGTATTAATAGCTATAACACATTTTTTTCTGAAAAATGTTCTTCTTGGCGAAAACACAATATCCTTAACTTTTTTCGATCAGTTTATTATGATGTATTCAGGAATATATTTTAAATTCAACCGGGTGGCTCAAAAAAACGAAGAAAAACCATTTTATATTTTAGAAAGTTTGGTAAGGAATTGTTTAGTTTAAGATTACGATATTTATAGCAAAATAAATACAGACCAACAATAGTAAACATTTAGTATAGTTTTGATTTCAGAACATTTCTTGTATCTTTAATAATTTTTTAAAAAAGGCTGAGCATTTTTTTTAAATTTATTTATTAATATTTTTGAAACTATCGAAACATATTTAATATCGTAGGATTATGTAAAGTGATTAGAGAGGAAGCCAAAAATGCAATAATATACAAGGTTTTCCATATAAAAAAATCATTCCGATCCACTCACACTTTTTTGAGCCACCCTGTAGAAGTTAAAATATTTTCCTGAAATAATCCTAATATACACTTTAAGTTGGCACTTATACAAAATTCGTAAGTTTTTTTTTTATTATAGGAGCTACAGATGACCGACACATTGTTGCCGGGTCGTAAGAAAAACTTTGAACCATGGCAACCGCTATTTGCGGTTGTGATGAAGTTTTTGATAGGCACCCATCTTTCTGAGAAGAATAATAATGTTAATGTTTTTTTTAGTATCTTAAACTCTTTAGGCATTGCCGTAGTATAAGGGTAAAATTAATATTTTATACAATTTGTAGAATATACAGGCTGTTTCAAAACAAATGCGAAACACTTCAGGGGGCGATTCCTTGTTCAAAATAAAGGGTAGTTTGCTTCATAAACGTTGGGTCAAAAGTCAACCATTAGGGAGATATCGTGGTACAAAGATGGCGGAAAAATAATATTTTTATTCAAAACGAAAAGAGATAGTCTAATGAAATTTTATGGGAGCATTACTGTTACGAAAACACACTTTCTGGTAATTTTTTCACTTTTTTTAAAATGAGTGGAAGGATTTAAAATAAATTACCCTTATCATTCTTGTTAACGAAATTTAAAGAAAAATCTTATCAAACACATGCAAAAAAATTGATTTGGATAGCTTGGTTTATTTAGAAACTTTTTTATCTCTTGTTCTTCTTTGATAAAACTCGCCGATTTGAAATTAAAAAATAACATGTAAAACATTACAAGTCAGGATCAAAAACATTTTTAGATAAAGAATCTAGTGATAATAACGATAATAATAAGAATCTAGATAATAACGTATTGCAGTAGAGTAATGTCAATAAAATAATATTAGAAACATCCTAAAAAGTGACAGCGGCCGACTAGATTTTTTCCTAAAAAAAATAAAGCAGCCCACTAGATTCTTTATCTAAAAATGTTTTTTGTCCTGATATGTAATGCTTTACATTTTATTTTTTAATTTCAAATCGGTGAGTTTTATCAAAAAAACACAAGAGATAAAAAAAGTTTCTAAACAAACTAAACTATCCAAATTAATTTTTTTGCATGTGTTTGATAAGCTTCTTTTTTAATTTCGTTAACAAGAATCATAGGGGTAGTTTATTTCAACACCTTCCACTCATTTTAAAAAAGTGAGAAAATTACCAGAAAGTATGTTTTCATAACAGTAATGCTTCCATAAAATTTCATTAGTCTATCGTTTTTCGTTTTCAAGATAAAGAATAAAAACATTATTTTTCCGCCATCTTTGTACCGCGATATCTCCCTAATGGTTGACTTTTGACCCAACGTTTATAAAGCAAACTACCCTTTATTTTGAACAAGGAATCACCCTCTGAAGTTTTTCGCATTTGTTTTGAAACACCCTGTATACACATATAACCATATTAAATGTATGTTCACAACAGCATAATAATCCTGCAGCCGAATCTTGTACTATTAGTATGACCTGAGTACCTAATCATGTTAAAGTATTTAAAACAGTAATATAGGAAAAAATGTTAACCTTATCTTGATCGTAATCATAAATTTATTTTAAATTATTTAAGACAATGAATGCTTTTGATGCTTTTAGTCATTTATTGAAATGATAAAATATTTCAAATAAAAAGGTGTATATAGTGTTTATAAATAAATTATTGTTTTTTTTTTCTAGAGGCATTAAGAAAATACCCAGTACTGCCTTTCTTGGAAAGGGAATGTACCTCCACCTACAAATTTGAAGGAACAGATCTTGTTGTAGAAAAAGGGCAAGCTGTCTATATCTCTACGTTCGGAATGCAGTACGATGAGAAGTACTTTCCAGATCCAGAAAGATTTGATCCCGAAAGATTCTGTGATAAAAACGAGATAAACAAAGAAGGTTTCTATTTTACACCTTTTGGCGAGGGTCCTAGAATATGCATTGGTAGGTATTACAATAGTATAAAAATTGTAGGTATTAAAATAACATACTATCGAGAAAAAAAAAACGGTGTCAAAGACGGCTAGGGAATGATAATTGATAACAATTTTGGCGAGGTCAAGCCCTAGACGTCATTTTCTTGCCCTATACTCTTCTTTCTTTTTTAATGGCGCTTACTGCCAATTAAGAAGGTCGAAAATTATTTTTATATTGGGTAAAAATAAATTTTAAATGGTGTAGTTTAAAATTACAGATTTTTTTTTTAATATACTAATAACTAGAAACTAGAAACTACGACAGAACTAGAAAATCGGACAGAGTTATTAGTGTGTTGTATTTATTAGCTATTGGTATTTATAGTTGTAGACTAAGGTTTTAAAATATCAAATATTTTTTTTGTTTAGGCAACAGATATGGACTTATGGCAGTAAAAGTGGGTTTAATTGCAATTTTATCAAGGTTCAGAGTAATAAGAAGTTCGAAAACTCCAGAAAAAATTACATTTGAACCTAAAAGTTTTTTGGTTCAGGCATCAGGAGGGATACCACTGCAATTTGCACCCTTATAAATAATCATTATTATATGTCATTCATTTAAGCAAACTGTAGGCATATTGTATTACAAAAATGATTTTTAATTAAAAGTGTAATCAAATTACATATAATATTATAAAAATTTTAAAAGAAAAAATGTCACAAAAAAAATATTTAAATTTTATAAATTTGTTTTTTCTATAAACTTTATTTCCTGACCACGGATTAGGTATACTATAAAAGGCTATAAGTATACAGATAAAAATCTTGTCCCTAATTCGTGGTTCGGAAATTGTTTTTTATGACGGTGAGCAAACGAGTAAAATTTCCTGTGCACAAAAATAAACTCGTTAGAAACCCTGTAAAACATACAAAAACGGGACACCCTGTGCATTCAAAAACAGATAAATTTATAAATAAATATTTAAAAAATGAAGTATAATTTATTTCCTACCGCAATTAACGACATCACAATTACTTTTTTAAACATCACGACGTCATGCATACAAAAAGTATATTAAATGGTATACCTATAGATTTAATCATTTTCACATAATAAAATTATAAATCAAAAAACCCGAAACTAATAATTACTATTGATAATATGGCACGAGTTTAAGAACAAACTATTAAAATGGGTAATTTGTAGATGGAAATTATTTGTCATGCTAGCCCTCAATAGAAACCGCAAAAAAATAATTGTATATTATTGATAAATCTACAGAGTACATCACTTTAAGACATTTCAATTTTAATATTTTTTAGAATATCTCTTAATAATTTTAATAGCTCATACTGTTTTGAAATTGTGTATTTTATTTGCAAATTCAAATTGTCTATTTATTTTTATTGATGAAGTGAAGCAAATGATAAAAAGGCCATAAAGTAGACTTTAACAATGCCAAAATGTTAACATTATAATGAAAGAACAGATAAACTTATAGTCCAGTAAATGAATGTTGAAACCACGGCTTAATTCGTCGACCGAGACTTTTCAGGGTACCTATTCTTGAAAGCGAGAGAAGGGAGTGGTCCCTGGGAGCTCCCCAGCGTTGTTAAGGGGAGTTCCCCAGCGTTGTCAAGGGCAAACATTTTTGTACTATAAATGGTATCGAAATTGTACTTTTTTAAGTGGGATTGTACATTTTTGGTGCAAAAATGTGGGATCATGTGATCTCTCTATTTACTTTTTTACCAAGTTTTGGTACGTAGGGTGCATCCACACTATCCTAAAAACAGCGGAACGGCGTATTGGCTTAACGACCTTGAATCGATTTTCTGCAATTCTATTGGCTGAAATTTTTGCCAGGTGAATTTGACAGATAAAATTTCTGACAGATGAATTTTTCAGCCAATAGAATTGCTGGAAATCGATTCAAGATCGTTACACCGATACGTAATGAGGATGCACCCTCACAGAATTATACACCATATGCTATCCTCCTTTCACGCAGTTGAGCAGCTCTGAAATGTTTAAGAACGCGATACTCTCCCTCCATTCAATTGAGTCATAAAGTTCAGAACTGGTTCCGCGCCATATGGAGGCACCAGGCTATCTCGCACACCTCCTTTCAGAACCGTTCTGAGTAGCCCAGGGCGTAAAGCTCTGGAACTTTAAATCGGAACTCTGGCTCGCAAATGGAGGACAGCAATACAGAAGCTACAAAGAGCTTTGAATAGCATTGGTTAAATGGGAACTAATTGCGTGACGTCACGTTTGACATCGGGACACAATAGATCTCTAAGGTCGCAGTGATTAGCCCCCTTCCTAGTCACCGCACGGATATCAAACTTATGTTTGACATCCGTGCGGCTTGAACAGCATTTCAAGTGATGTATAATTCTGTGCCTCTGCTCCTAGCGACCTGCATTTCAAATCCACGCATCGCGTATCACCGTTCGTCTAAAAATATGTACGTGGGTTTAAGTTTGGGTTAGTTTGTGTTTGAGAAGTAAGAATTGTACATTTTTTCTTGCAATTGTACCTATGTACTCCTTGACTATCATATGTACCCAAAATAGTACAATTGTACCTATTGTAACAACACTGGAGCTCCCGGGGAATGCTCCCTCACTCGACCTCCCTGAAAACGAAATGTCGTATTCTTGAAGTACCGGACGCACCAAGAGGTATAAGGGAGGAAGTAGAATCGGGGAACAGCGTTGCCGGTGTGTACAACCAATAGAATTACAGCAAATCTTGACAGTCAGCGGCTTACTTATTCTATGGTCAGCGACTTCGGCTTGCGTACATCGCGTCTAGAGATATAATTTACTTTAAAACGTAAAATTTCGAACGATTGCAAATGTAGGTCGATTTTTTTTGTGTCCCAAGTCTTTGTGCCTCCCGTAAGATCAACAAAAGGGCTTTTTTGCTTGTCTTGCAGTTTAGTAAAAACAGAAACTTTATTCAGAGACGTATTATTTTCAAATTAAGGACATTAATACAGCGGGTACAAACAAAAACGACTAATATCTAAATTTGAAATTGTTCAAAAATATATATACTTTTTGGAGTTTTTATCCATATTCAAAGCCATATATTCTACTATAACCGTAATTTTTACATAAGAAGACGATTTTTTATTAAGAGGAGATAAATGTTCTCTTTTTTTACCTTAATTTTGGTTCTCAAACAAATGCACATTTACTAATTTTAAAAATGACATGTTTAAATTTCTATCCACCCTGTATAAAACATTTTTACACACATTTGAAGAAACATTTTTATCTATAAATATTAAGTCTGTAGCTTTTTTCGTTTTCCTGTTATTACCGATTCTGAACCGTCCTAGGATTGTGATGCGTATGCGCAGAAGGAAATATGAAGACATTATTTCATTTGCGCATGCGCTGGAGAGTTCTAGGATGATTCAGAATCGATAATAACAGGAAAACGAACAGACCTTGTAACAGCCGAGTAAACAAAAGACATCGTAAATAAATACGGTAAGTTGGGTTAGGTTTGCTCTCTCCCTCGCTTTATAGTACGAGAACTTTTAACTCCCTAGCAACTCCCCAGTTTCTTACTCCCTCCCACAATATTTTTCAAGAATACGGAAACTACCAGTTTTATGATTACCACGCCCGCTTCTCTCGGGAGTTCTACTCCCTGAAACTCAAGAATAGGTGCCCAGAAGCGGGTTGTGTACCTTTTGGAGAGTAGTTTTAGAAAATCACCAAACCAAACCAAAAAATCAGTTTTTCACAAATATCTGCCAAAATGTGCAATTTACAAAATTTTTCTTGGAATAAAAATTGAAGCTTGGGTAGGTACCTACAAAAATGGTCCTTATCATTTTTTGAGTAGAATTTGTAGTTTTCGAGATATTATGCCTCGAACATCCCTGAATTTTATTTCCAAGTTGTAACGCCTACGGAGATAGATTTTTAATAAGCGTGTCATTTTTGATTGATAGGGCAAATTGTTTAATATATCTAACTCGGCTAAAATTATATTTTATGATAATAAAAAAACCGGCCAAACATTCCTTGGCCCAAAAATTTACAAATGTTTACAAACTTATTCATATTTTCACTAGTAATAGCTTATTTGTCAATATTTTTTTAACAGTTGTTCTAGAGTCTCTTTAATTTCTTTTTTTTTTTTTGAAAATTTCAACTTCCTAAAATTTAATGCACCACGTACCTTTCTTTTTTAAATAAATTTCCCTCTAAAACGTTAAAGTCTTGGTACAAAACACTAGACCACCCTGTATACATACTAATTAATATTGCAGGTACAACATAACTTGAATTACGCCTACGACTTAACCTTGAAATTGTTGTATCTTCCTCGTTAAACAACGGACCAAATTTCGGAAAAAATTCAAAAAGATATTTTCATTTAAATACGTACCAAAAAAATATTCCGTTAATAAAAACAAATATTGATTAAAAACATGATATCTTAAGCCAGACAATAAAAAACAGATAAAAAATCTATTTTAGTACATTTAAATAATAAAATTATTATTATTGTCGCTGACTGGTTGAACTACAAAATGTTTTTAAAATTTCGGTAAAAATAATTCACTTTTTATCTTGGCATTTATAAATCCTTTATAAATGTATAGATAAAAGTTTTATAAAAGCTTTATAAAACCTTTATAATTAGGTATAACTATTATACAATACCTACTGTTCTACTCCTGTCAACATAAATCATAAACTTGCCAGCGATCGTATTCATTACGTTATTACTGCTAAATTCATTAGATAGGATATATTATCTTAAAACTAATAATTAAAATAAAAACATTATCATTAATAACCTAACCTCGCATTTGATTTACCTTTTTTTTATAGCTGTCCTGGGTGACAAAAAATAATTTAACCCATAATTAAATGCACTTTTAATTACACCAAACTTACAAGCAAAAAATTACCAAAACCTTGAGTTAAAAAAAATTGGTTTTCGGTGCAATTATGCAATTCAGTTTTCAATTCGCATCATTTGCCTATATGTTAATGAGTGATGGTAAATAATAATACTGGACGTCCTAATAATCTCACTCTTAGTACGGCTTGTACAGCTGCTTCTAGAAGAAGATGGAGACAAAAACGAAGCTCAGTTTGTACAAATTTAGGACATCTGAGTTGAGCAACAGGAAAACAAAAATGGTCTTTTGATTACCTTTCTCTATTAGTCTAGAGCTCCCAACGTTTTCGAGAAAGTATTTTAAGACGTCTGGCTCTTTGATATATCTTTTACTATGCCCTCTGGAACAGCATGCGGCCCGTCTGGTTGCCGATAACCGTTGCGTTCACTACTGCGCATCGGAAGAAGATCCTATATTTTTTATTAATTTAGTCCTATAAATTCTAGTACCTATTGAATATAAACACTTAACCCTATATACACTTTTTATTTTATTTTCGTTTATATTCTGATAGTAAAGTATTAAATAATTCTGGTAATTAAAAAAAAACAAATATATAATACTTTACTATCAGATTATAAACGAAAATATAATAAAAAAGTCTATGCCCTGACCCGGATTCGAACTCTGAATCATCGGTTCGTGGTCGGAAACTCAACGCACTGCGTTATGGAGACATGTTCGTTTCCAAATTAAAAATATAGGATCTTCTTTCAATGCGCAGTAAGGAACGCAACGTTTACCGGCAGCCGGGCGGGCCGCATGCTGTTGTAGAGAGCATAGTAAAAGATATATCAAAGAGCCAGACGTCTTAAAATACTCGTTTTTCCAACGTTGCTAGCTCTCGTACTATATGTTACTACCTTACTACAAAGGTTCATGTTTTCAGAACACCTAATATCTCTAGTACCCTAGAACTATGAATGCAGAGGGCAAAATAATCGTGTTTACCACATCAAACAGAAAATACTAATAATATATTTTTAAATTATCCATGTCACTTTATTCATTTACTACCATATGATCGAGAAAAAACGCCGTCCAGTTGGCTTGGAAATGACGATTGATGACATTCCCCATATAATTTTACATATGTAAAATATATATAAAATATGTATAAAAATATGTATAATTTTACATATGTAAAATTATATGGGGATAAAATAACAGGGATCTTCATTTCATAGCCATCCCTGACGCCGTTTTTTTTCATCATATTCTACTTGGTTATACAAACCATAATGTCACTCTAGTGCAAATATAGTACCAGTAAAAATATTGGTAGTTAATTAAAAAGACACTCTGTATAAATAAAATGGAATTTTAGTTGTGACGTATTTCAATTTTACTAGTTTTACAAAATCCCAATTGCAGTACTATACGAAGAAACAATCGATAAGCAATACTTTGTATCATTAGAAGTAATTAAGATGCATTACATTGTCATAATTAATACAGATAAATTGCTTCTTCTGATAACAATATAGCATAGCAAAAATTTTATTTTTCGTATTGTTTCGTACTTGTCTCGTGCCCCAGTAATTTGATAGGTCTCAGTATATAAGAGATAGAATATCAATAAAATTATTTATTTAAATAAGTAGATTGATAGGACAGTGTTGTTAAAGCATTGTAAGTGTATAGGTGTTCTTTTGGAATTATACTTAATATCGTCTTAAGAAAGTTGCTTAAATCATCAAGGTAAGCTATCATTAACTAATAGAAGATTCTCATAGAGTATACAGTTGAAATTGGAACTTTTGGTGTTCCTGCAGCAAAATATATCAACTGACACACTTTACTTTCAACACTGGACGCGTCCACTAAAGTGTTTTGGTGTATTGTTATGAATTTGTTTTATTTCATTTTTGAAAGTGAGAAGTGTATCAATAAATGCGTTCTAAACAGTAACATTCTGCTATTTTTGTTGTTAAGTTATTTATTTACATTATAACTTTTTAAATATTTATCAAATTTTAACTCAAAACATGTTTTTTACATGGGTTATTAGATTTATAGCACTACTTGCACTACTTCTAATTTTGTTTTTATTATTATAGCTAACCATACGAAAAATATTTTGTTTGATATATATTTTATTCTGGTGATAAGCACACAAAAATAAATCATATGGGTGATTCTGATCCAACTGGTATTTTTTTAATTTTTATTAATAGGGGAACTATAATTTTTTGGTTATGGTTTTGGTTTTAAACAATAATTTTCCCAATCAGCTCGATATATTAATGATCTTGCCAGCATTAAGGTTGATTCTCACTATACCTTCCGTTTCCATTCCATATCCGTTCCGTATTTTTAATGTATTGACGCTATACGTAAGCTTCCGTTCCGTATCAGTTCCATACTTTTAATTATACAATTTATATCATTAATAAAGTTTTATTTTAAAAATTTGTATCTTTTGAAAAAGGTAATAGATTTAATTAAGAGGTGAAAGAATAAATAAATATCAGCAAAATTTTAACAATGCTGGTACAAATGTACGGTACTGGTACACTTGAGAACCCTGTTTCTCATACGCTTCAGTCCGTCCGCCAAAAAAATGTATGGAAGGAAAGGATACGGAACGGAAGGGAAACGGAACGGATAGTGTGAATTGTCCTATTCAATTACATGATATAATATTTTATGTAAACGGAAGGGATACGGAAGGGAGCTGATATGGAAGGTATAGTGAGAATCAACCTTTACTCATCTTATTAATGTTATATTAATCTATATACTAATTCCTTATAATAAAATTATAAGTATATAATACATTTACGTGCATAGAAATCGGCCCAAGGCAAACTTTTGAAGTTAACTATTAATTTTTTAGAATATATTTGTCAGATTAAGAGAAAATATATACTATTTGAAAGACAATTTCATATTCTTTGAAAAGAGTTTAGAGATATTAATTTGTATTTCGATTTCTTCGGACTAAAATTATTAAATTAATGCATGAAAGAAATTATCGTTTTTTATTACTCAGATGTATGTCATTATTTAATTTATTTATTTATTGACAATTAACTAAAATAAATTTTCAATAATGGATATGATCCCCTCTTGCTCTTACAACATTTCTCATACAATTTGGCATAGATTCAATCAAATTTGATATTGTTTTTTGCGGGATGTTAAGCCACTCTTCTTCTACTGCAACAATGAGCTCTGGGATAGAAGTTGGAGCTCTTCGTTTAACACGAATTCTTCGTTTTAGCTCATCCCATAAATGTTGTATCGTGTTTAAGTCTGGATTGCATGCTGGCCATTCCATAACACGAAAACCGACTTCTGAAATGTAATCGTGTACGATTCTAGATTAGGTTAGGTTAGTTGTGCCTTCGCATTGTCATGCATAAAAGTGAATTCGTTTCCAATGTAGTCGACTTAAGATACCACATGAACTGCTAAAATCTCCTCAATATACCTAGCACCAGTTAAACCTCTTCTCCCGTGCCGACGGTCGTCCCAACGGATGAAAACTGGGTCGGTTCGCGCAGTCATAGAAATTGTACCCCTGATCATACAGAAACCACCTCCATAAGCAATCTGCTTCTCAATGCAGCATTCTGCGAATGGCTCACCTGGCGTCTGGTACACTTTTCTTCTTCGATCGCTACCATAGAGGCATATCCGGGTCTCATCTGAGAATAAAACACATTCCCATTGTTCAAGATGCCGATTTCTTAATATTGTTGACACAATAATGCGGTCATCACGATCCGTTGTATATCTCTTTCTACCAGTTCCAGGTCGCCTACGAAAGGACCGAGTCTCCTCATATCGTTCACACACTCTTCGAACCGCTCCGCGAGTCATATGCAGTTGCCGAGCTACAGCTCTCTGTTTAATTCCATTTTCGATTAAAGGGATTACTTTGGCAGCTTTTTTCCGTAATGTATGCATTAAATTGAAACACTAATAAAACAATGAAACACAACAAATCAAACAACGAAAGAACAATGTGCACATTTCGATTACAAAGTGACAGTAAAGTAGTAATGTCAATATTTGATAAGTTTTTTATTCTTATTGTCACCATAACAAAAATGCCTTTCATTTGTTTACCCGTTGCAACGCATATAAACGACAAGTACTTTGGATAAATTTATACTCATATCAAAGCATGTTAAATTGTCTTTGAAATAACTCATATTTTTTTCTTGGTCTGATAAATAGATCCTAAAAGACACAGTTAAAGTCAAAAGTTCACAGTGGGCCGATTTCTATGCACGCAAGTTTATATACTAATATTAATATACATATACTTACTAATTCCTTATAATAAAATTAAATAATAAAAATAATGTAATTTTATTCCTGTAGATTAAGTGAAAAGTGTTGTTCTTAAATATCTACTCTACATATTATAAACGCGTGTTCAAACATTAATCTTGTGGATTACATATCAACATAAAACGAGATGTAATTACCGAAATATCATCGTAACAACAGATATTCTAACAACGTCTAGGTTTACTTATTTCACTGAGATTTATGAAAATAAAGTTCTTTGCCTCGGGTATAGATTACCGACACGTTTTGGAAACAGTTCGAACCGAAACAAAATTGAACGAGACAACAGAAAAAGTAAAAAAAAATTCCTCACACCCTTCTCCGCAAGTTCACAACTATTCTCCGAATAGAGTAGAGCGTGTAATACAGTTGCACTTTCTCAAAAACAAATTCAACATAAAGACACCTAAATATGGAATAGGTACAATAAAAATATGAACCACTATAAAACAAACACTTCAAAATAATCAAAAGGTATATCAGATTTTATTAAACATATTCAGACAAGAAAAGACTCCTAAACAATCAAACAAATATGTAATCAATGCATTGTCATGATATTCAATATTATTTGCGCAATCACGTATCAAAAAATATTTACTTGAGTACCTTAAAAATTTTTCTCATGAAAGAACTCGCGCTGAAAGAACACACTCTTACCGTGACCACAGAGCCCGTTTCAATGACAAGGCAAAGCCTGCACGTGAGTATAATAATGAAAAGAGATTAAAAATAACTGTCTTTTGCGATTAGACGTATTCGTTTCCGAGAAATGGCGGTATTCCATATTAGGGATACTCATGATCATCATCATCATTTTCAGCTTATTCAACCATTTCCAATTATGGTGTAGCCTCCCTCACATACTCTCTTTGTAGTTGGACCCATTGTTGTCTATTGTTGGCTATGCGGGCCCAAGTTATCCCTGCTAATTTCCTAATATCATGGTCCCATCTCCAGGTTTGGTCTTCCTCTAGGTCTCTTAATTCCTCGCTGTAATTGTTGTGGTCCATCTGTCGTCCGTCCTACTTGCCAAGTGTCCTGTCCATTGCCACGTGAGGGATTTGACTCTGTCGATGACATCTACTACCTGGATCTTTTGTCGTATGCACTCTATTCTTTTACGGTCTCTCGCTTGATTATTCCCAGCATATTTTCTTTCATTGAGCGTTGTGCGATCTGCAGTTTCCTTATGATGCCGTTTTAAGATTGGCAGTACACATTGGTCGAATGTTTTCTACTTTAGATAGAGTGGCTTTGGCAATTAGGGATACTATTCCATATGAAATAATCAATAGTTAATTTAAACTACCAATACCACGATACTAACAAGTGAATTTGCGACAACCCTTTTTAAAATTCGAGTTTAAAAATAACAATTGGATACCTGAGTTACTTGAGGGCCACTTATACATAAAATTGATTTGATTGATTGGAATGTTGATATAAAAATGCAATTCATATATTAATAATGCACAAACAGCGAAAGCAGATTTGTAAAGGACATCAAAAATCACAATTAAAATGGAATGACCCATACCAGCAATAATATTCTTAATAAACGATGTAATTACATAATAACACAATACAAATATCATCAAAGCTTTAATTTGTCAAGAATCTCCATCAGAACTCGACTAGTTGTTTTTATAACAAAATAATAATACACACATTAATAATGAACTAAGCGTTTATACATATAAAGGATGCGACACAGCAGCGTAGATCACAAGTTGAACAGTTGATGGCCGTGAACAAGTGGTCTTAGATATAAAGTGATAACAAAATAGATATAATTAGTTAATTATAGTGGATTATTTTAATAATTAAATATAAAATATCAGCCGTGATCAAGGTAATGATTTTAATATAAATAAATATAGTTTGTAAATAAAAAACAATATTTCTATTTTTAATAGAAACAAAGATATTCAGATTTTCAAAAATTCGAAAAAAAAATCCTTAAAATATTTTTAAATGTATTTAATATTTGTGCATTTTCTAATTACATACATAATGAGAGACTGTTCAAGATTTATACAGGGTGCTACAAATTCGAGGTACGAGCATTGGTATCTCGGAAACCGTAATAGATACGAAGATGGTTAAATTGGGACAAAGTTGCGTCTTGGACTGTTCACCAAGATGCCATCAAAAAAGTTTTAAAAATTTCAAGGATTGCTGAGTTTTTTGGAAAAAACGGATTTTTTTGAAAACTAATTTTATTTTTTCCTGTTATTACTTTTTAGAAAATCAAAAAACTAATTGCACATTCTCATAGCCACTTTATTAGGGCTATCTGATAGTATTTTTCGATTTTCAAATTAGCTGATAATTTGTGAGATACAGAGGCCAAGTTAATTTTTTTAAATACGGACCTGCATTTTTTATTTCAGATTTTGAAAGAACTCAGTCTCCTGAGTACAATGATATGCCACACTTTATACTTTTTTTGTTTTGGGACTTTTCTTATTGTGAATTTGAAATTCTCAGTGTACGATCTAATAATTTGCAGAATATTAATTGTAGTTATTATGAATAAATTATATATATATATATATATATATATATATATATATATATATATATATATATATATATATATATATATATATATATATACAAATCAGTTTATAACGTTCTTCGACGTCTTCTGATTTCCAGTCTCCATTGGTCTCTGTCTGTCCAGAGGTTTTCGTCTATTCCTCTTGTTCTGATGTCCCCCGTCTATTCCTTCTCTCCAACTCCATCTAGGTCTCCCTCTCTTGCATTTGCCTTGTGGTGTCCAATTGAGTATTTTTTTCGGGATTCTGTTCTCTTCCATTCTTTGTACGTGCCCGTACCACCTGAGTTGGTTAATTTTGATGTCTTCTGATATTCGGTGTTTAACGCCCATGATGTTCTGAATTCGTTCATTTCTAACTCTATCCAGTTTCGATTTTCCAGCCGCGCACCTCCAAAAGTCCATTTCTGTAGCTTCGAGTAACTTAAGGTTTCTTTATTTCAAAGGCCATACTTCACTACCATAACTACCATAAGCATATAATAACCACGATACACATAAACACGGTATGTCCGCGCGCAGGCCGGCTGGCTCGACATCGAATTCGTGACGTCACCTGCGCTGCAAAACGAGTCGCGCTTATGAAGAATCCGCATAAATAACGCGCGCTTCTTTAGAAAATACCGTTTTACATATGCAATTTTGAAGATTTATAAAATTTGTTATGACTTATTGAGAACATTATTTAAGTGACAAGTAAAACATGATTCAAATAACTTAGCTACTACAAGCATGTCTGTACAATAATAATTACAATATAATTATTCAGGTGAATATAATTATAATAAAGGTGTAATCGATTTTCTTTCTACTGATTACAGATAAAATAACAAAATGTTTACAAGTGAATTATTATATTATCATAATACTTTTTTTGACACCGATTGCCTTTATTAGGTGTTTTTTACTAATTAAAATTTAAAATAAATAGGAAATTATAAAAAAATTATTTCAATTATTTTTTTAGAAGTGACATACTTAACACATAAATAGAGTATGAACGATACATGATTGTTTTTTTTATTATATATTGTGAAAATGATTTGACAGTTTATTTTTTAGAGTTTAAAAAGTTAGACATTTTCTTATCCAATCGTTTACGACAATTTTCAAAACTAATTCTTCGGTTCAAGTCACGTAGTCCAATGTAAGTTCGTGTCCTTGCTAAGCATAAAATTACTTCTTGTGGTATTGTTGCTTTTAAATCATTGGTTAGTTTTGCAATCGTTCTGTTGCATAAATTTGTAAACAAATGTTTGTCATCTGCCAAGGAAGTGCCATGCATTTCTTTAAACTCACACTCAAGTACAGTAGTCACACGTAACAAATTTTCGTTTGGCTACAGTAGATTTCCGCGAGAAATAAAATTCAGCCAACAATGTGATGCTCTATTAACTTCTATATTTTTAGTTGCCACTCCCAAATCGTCGTATTTGCCTCTAAATGTATGAGCTACATATCCCGCAATGTATATTAAAGCGTCCTTGTTAACTCTGTCTTGAATTTCATTCCGAAAATATTTAATATCGGATCCTTTTCTCTCATAGTTTTTACATCCGGTCACAGCACAGTTTACCATTTTTAAATAAAGTCTGGGGTATACTTGTTATTAATAACAACAGAATAATAAATCCCTAATATTTTACAAACACGCGTCTCTTGAAGATAACACAAAATAATTCGATGCTAAATGCAAATATCGTTTGAACAAGCAACCAGACGCAGCGTTTAAAAAGATTATGTGTCGTATCGGCCATCTGTATCGGCTTGCAGCGCAGATGACGTACGTGCGCGGAGTTGACTAAAATGCGTCCTACTATCGGACATACCGTGTTTACGTGTATCGTGATAATAACATTATGAATAAATTAACTTCTACAAACTAGTTTCCAATGCTTTACATAGTCTACACGTTCGAAAGGGTTACCAGCCTCCCTATTGCACAAATTTATTTTTCGTTCAATTTTATTTATAGCTTTTGAATAGATCTTCTTATACTTTCGAATGCATTTTGTACCCTTTATTGTAACTGCCGAGATGTGTTGATTTTACTTTTTTGGGTGATCTATTTTAAGGATTTATTTTACATTAAAACTTTGTTATTTCAAATGCAACACCCTGTATTTTTTTAAATAAATAGAAGCAGATTCAAATGCTCTTTCAAACTATATCAGGGTTTCCTATACCTATCTATCTCAGATTTTGAATAAAAAGCGATTTTTAAATAAAATGGCAACCAAGATGGCTGGTATCGCCCGCCATGGCAATTTTCTAGTGACAGTTAGTAACTATTTTCAAAATCGACATTAGTTTATGGACATTATTATTTAAATAGTTTACTAAAATTTACCCACAATAGTTTAATAAGTAAGTACCTATTCTTTATTTTATGAAGAAAAATAAAACCGTATCTGCTGGCGGCGGGCGGAACGAATGGATATGTTACAAGTGATTTTATTTTGTGAGGAAAATTATTTCTTGGCCTCAAGAGCTTATGCTTAAATATATCCAAATAGGAATCTTCCTGATAAGCATTCCTTTGAAAAACTACTTGTCCTATTTCCTATTTCGCAGAGTGTAGTTTATAAAAAACCTATTAGGCAGAAACCTGTCGTTGGAAGTGAAGAAATTGAATTTGCCGTAATTGGCTCTTTTATAGAAAATCCATATATCTGCAAGTTATCGTAAAATAAAACAAAGAACTACTTTTTTATTTTTCTTGGTAGAATAATAAATATGTATTAATGAATATTATTTATTAAACTATTGTAGTGAAATTAAATAAAAGTAAAATTGTATAAATTTGAATAAAGTCTATAAACTAATTTCGAAAATAGCTACTAATTGTCACTAGAAACTTGCCCTGACGACACTAGCCCTCTTAGTTGCCATTTTATAGAAAAATCGCTCTTTATTCAAAATATGAGCTAGATAGGTATAGGAAACCCTGATATAGGTTGAAAGAGCATTTAAATCTGCTTCGATTTATTTTAAAAAATACAGGCTGTTGTATTTGAAATAACGAAGTTTTTATGTAAAATGAATATTTAAAATAGACAAGCAATTTTTGGTACCCCTGTACAAATTTAATAAATCAATAACATATTTTAGTAAAGTTTATATCTTTACCTTTAAACTCAGTACAAGAATTAATTCCATAAGAAAAAATATAACTTTGGTATGGATCTTAGTTCTGAGACACCCTCTATATTTCAAAATAATTTTAAATTGTGCCACTTTGCCTCCCCATATCTACCCATAAAATATTTTGTTTCTACACCTTTCCGTTTTCGTATAATCAACCGAGGCGAATGAGGTGCGCCACCCTGTATACAGCTTGCTAAAAAAATCATGATAGGGCCAAAAATAACAAAAATATAACACTTTAAATTTGACCAAACATTTCTCCGTTGCGTTTTTTGCATCTGAATGTAAAATTATTGTATAGAACTACCGTATGATCGAATAAAAACGGCGTCAGCGATGGCTATGAAATGACGATCGATGACATTTCCCATATAATTTTACATATAAAATGACAGCGATCTTCATTTCATAGCCGTCGCTGACGCCGTTTTTATTCGATCATACGGTACATTAAATAAAAATCGTATAATAAAATATACTTTATTTTTCAGATGGTGGTATTCTGGACGACATTCTTGTCACTACTAGCGATAGCCTACTATCTGCTATACAAATACATGACAAGGAATTTTTCTTACTGGAAAGACCGAAACATATTCTACTTCAAACCGCTCCCATTCTTTGGAAACCTTTTACCAATGATCACCATGAAAACCACCATGGGTGAACTAATAATGGACCTCTACCGACAAACTGATAAAGACTACTTCGGTATCTTCAGCTTGGACCGACCAGTATTAGTTGTAAAGTCACCAAAACTAGCCAAAGACATTCTGTTAAAGGATTTCGCCAGTTTCCATGATAGGATAATCGTCACGCCGGATACGGATCCAGCCATGTCAAACTTGATGTTTTTCAAGAAGGGGCAGATGTGGAAAGTGATCAGATCCAAGATGACGCCGGTTTTCACATCCGGAAAGCTGAAGGCCATGTTTTCGGTTATGGTGGACGAATCAAATGATCTGAGCAAGTATCTGAGTAAATTTGTTGGAGCTCCCTCTATAGAGGCAAAGGAAGTTTGTGCGAAGTATTCTACAAACTTGATTGCTTTGACTGCGTTTGGTGTAAAAGCTAAGTGCTTTGATAATGAAGACGCTGATTTCAGGTATTAATATTTATTTAAAAAAATGTACTATAGTGCTTTTTTTCCAGTAAACAAAAATACGAAGAAAATTATCTTTAATTGTTGCACATATTATTTTTATATCACATAACACAAAAATAATTTTATTAAATCTATACAGGGTTGTTCATCACATACGACACGAAGTATTGTAGCTAAACGATTAGATTTTTACAAATTGTAAGTTTTGGGTTCGTTGAAGACTATTAGAGGTACAATTTAAAAATAATTCTACAAGATACAGAGTGTCCCAAATAAGTAAAAAAATATTATAGTTGTGTTTTTTAAATATAACACCGTGTATATTACTCTATTTTAGATTCTACGGTTGAAGTAAAGGTAAATTTTATTAAGGTTTATTACACTTAAACCTTACCGTTTTTGAAATATTTTCAATTTTGTGAAATTGCAGTAAACAATTTAAGGCTTCATTTCTCCAAGGGTATTAAAGGTTTTAATACCAAATATTTACTGAAGATTATTCATTGATCAGGTGTTGCAATAATAGAAATTATACTACCTTATACAGAGTGTCCAAAAAATTATATTAAATAATTACTAGCTTTAAACGGGAATAACTTGTTTAATTTAAATGGAACACCCTATATATTTTACGGGAATCAGATGCGCAATTTAATTGTCTATCAAATTGTATTATACCATTTTTTACCTATCTCTTCAAGTTTTCGTAGAATATGTTTTTCCTTATAATTAAGTTCCTTATAATTAATAAGACCTCATTTAAGTTAAGTCAATTTGCCGATAGCAGATAATCATGATTTAAGTCAAAAATATAGACTCAAGTCGTATAAAAAGGACTTAAATTACATTATATTCTTTACGAAAATGACTGGACTTGAAAGAAATTTATTTTATTACCTTTATGCTGACATTGACTTAAGATTTAAATCTTGGTATATTCTTTGATTTAAATTAAACATCTTTTGAAACTGACTTGTTGCAGCTCTGTTTAGAAACGCAGTTAATTTGTGTTTACATAAGACTACACATATTTGTATTGTGCTTATACAGGGTGGCGCACCTCATTCGCCTCTGTTGATTATACAAAAACGGAAAGATGTAGAAACAAAATATTTTATGAGTATATGTGGGAAGGCAATGCGCATAATTTAAAATTATTTTGAAATGTACAGGGTGTGTCAGAACTAAAATCTATACCAAAGTTATATTTTTTCTTATGGAACACCCGGTATTTTATTTCATTTTCGTATTCTTGAACATAAAATAATGCATTTATTATAAAGGTTTAATATGTTTAAAAGCTTTAGTTTTGGAGATATTTAATGATATTTAAATATGCATGCTATAATAAAAAAGTTTGTCATCACCTTGTCATCACATTACTTTTCAGAATTAATTTTTGTGCCTGACCCTCAAGCCAGAGAAATAAACTTTACAAAAAAATTCGATTGCTTCCTTAAATGTATACAGGGGTATCAAAAAGTGCTGGTCTATTTTAAATATTTATTTTACATAAAAATTTCGTTATTTCAAATACAACACTATGTATTTTTTTAAATAAGTCGAAGCAGATTTAAATGCTCTTTCAAATTATATTAGGGTTTCCTATACCTATCTGGCTCAGATTTTGAATAAAAAGCGATTTTTCAATAAAATTGTAATCAAGATGGCTGGTGTCGCCATGGCAATTTTCTAGTGACACTTAGTAGCTATTTTCAAAATCGATTAGTTTATGGACTTTATTTAAATTTATAACAGGTTATTTTTATTTAATTTACCTACAATAATGTTAATAAATAATTAGATAAGATGAAGGAATAGATATGTTACTAGTGATTTTATTTCCTTCTTGGCCTCAAGGGTTTATGCTCAAAGATAGATAGACAGATAATAGGAATTTTCTTTACATGCGTTCCTTTGAAAAACTACTTTTCCTATTTCGCAAAGCTGATAGTGTGGTATATGAAAAGCCTATTAGGCAGAAACCTGTCTTTGGAAGTGACGAAAATCAATTGTTTTTTTATAGAAAATCGAATATATCTACAAGTCATTGTAATATAAATCAAAGAACTATCTACTTGTTTATTTATCTTGATAAAATAATAAAATACTTACCTACTTATGAAACTATTGTAAGTAAATTAAATAAAAGAAAACTGTTATAAATTTAAATAAAGGCCATAAACTAATGTCGATTTTGAAAATGGCTACTAAGTGTCACCTGCAAATTGCCATGGTGACACCGGCCGTCTTGATTGCCATTTTATTGAAAAATCGCTTTTTATTCAAAATCTGAGCAAGATAGGTATAGGGAACCCTAATATAGTTTGAAAGAGCATTTAAATCTGCTTCGACTTATTTTAAAAAATACATAGTGTTGCATTTGAAATAAGGAAGTTTCTATGTAAAATAAATATTTAAAATAGACCAGCAATTTTTGATACCCCTGTATACATTTAAGGAAGAAATCAAATTTTTTAGTAAAGTTTATTTCTCTGGCTTTGAAGCCACAGAAATCAGCACAAGAATTAAATCTAAAAAGTAATGTACAGGGTGTTAACAAACTTTTTTATTATAGCATGCATATTTAAATGTCTTTAAATATCGAAAAAACCAAAGCCTTTAAACATATTAAACCCTTATAATAAATGCATTATTTTTATTTAAGTATATAAAAAAGAAATAAAATACCGGGTGTTCCATAAGAAAAAATATAACTTTGGTATGGATCTTAGTTCTGACACACCCTGTACATTTAAAAATAATTTTAAATTATGCACATTGCCTCTCTACATATACCCATAAAATATTTTGTTTCTACATCTTTCCGTTTTCGTATAACTTTTCGTGTAACTTTGCGATGAGAACTTGTTGATTCTCGTTAAATCGGCAACGCATTTTATTAATAAAAAAATTGAATTAAAAACTGTTTTACAACGCAGTCCAATTTTAATTTTGACATGATTTGATCGATGTTAATCAATAAAATGAAATAACAATGACAATTACTAAAAGGAAATTTTGAGAGTGATAAATGTCTGCGAATTATTATATTCCCAAATCAAATGACAATGACACTTACTAAAAATAATGTGCAGTAATTTCCGAAATGCCGTAATGACGTCACCAACCTGTTTCATCTGGTTGTCAAGTGAAAGAGATAGTTCGACTCTATATTATAGCGTGAAGTTGAACGATATTGCTGAATAAAAAATAGTAATTCCAGTTAATAGATAATAATGTTAATTTTTTTATTTTTAGGAAACTGGGAAGACGTATTTTTGGAACAAGGTAAGTTTAGATATTATGTAAAATATCTTCCAAACATTTATTTTTGTCAGTAATGTAAAGGGTGGTCAAATAAAAATTTGTCAATAAAAAATCCAGATCAGTATATAAAGTACGAGTATAAGAAAGTGAATAATATCTCGAATCGAAAAATTGTCGTTTGGTAGAAGAGAAAAGGTAACAATGACAATCTAGGAATAATTTTCATTTCATATTTTAATTTAGAAACCTTGCTATTTCCCAGTTATTTAGGTTTTATTATTATTTGTTTACAAAGTCTTTCAAAAAACTGGCTAAATCACCAATTTTCCAACTGCCACTTGAAGATATAGAAATATCATACCGCCGGATCGCCGGATGGCGGTATTATATTTTATATGTTACGGTTAAGGTCCGATGTCCGGTTAATGTCGACATTAACAGGTTAATGTTTGGGTTTGATTATGTTTTTGGTTGTTTTGTTGTGTGTTATTCTCGAGATTAATCGGGTAATGTCGACATTAACCGGACATCGGACTTTAACCGTAATATAATTATAATATACACTAACAATACTGCCGGCGGGTGTTTATCCAGTGGCCTTAAAAAATAAAATCTTGTTTAATTCAGTTTTTAGACGCAAAAAAACCTGTATTTATTGTCCGTAACATAAATATTACAATAATTACAAAACTAACACACGAATTTAAATGTTACTGAGACGATGTGATTATAATGCTAATGGAATTTTTACCAAACAAAACTATTAAAAAGATAACTATTATACAGTTTTTATTTGCAGTTTAAACAAATATTTAGCTGATTTAATTAAGTAATTTAAAATGTTTTATCCTAAATGACATTAACTTTATTAATATCTTAATTTGACTAAATAATATATTATTATATTCTCATATATCATATTTTTTTCAAAACAAACAGTTCAATTTATTTTTGGTATAATTACTGTTTAAACAGACCTATTAGATAAATTATTAGATTTTAGATAATTACCTACGTTATATTAAAACGTATATTAACAATAATAATATCTTCATTCGCTATTAAGCCCCATACTCACTATGCGCTGATTCGTCGATTTACGACGCATTAACGAACCGCATCAGCGCATAGTGAGTATGAGGCTTCATAAAAGCGATCAACTCAGTAACCATCAATTCGAAATGGGTGAAAGAATGTCTAGAGAAGCTGAACAAATTAGGCAAAGAATATAAAGTCCTCCTACTCTGGGTGCCCGCTCGCCAAGGGATAAAAGGCAATGAAAAATCAAACGATCGAGCTAGAAAAGGAACGAACACTCCACTAACAGGACCAGAACCGTTCTGCTTTCCAAGAGGAAATCAGCTTAAAGCGGAACTGAAGAACCTGGAGGACTCCATCCGTAACCTGGAGTCTTCCAACATGGAATCCTCCAATGGTCTAAGACACTCGAAAAAGTTCCTCAGAATTTATACGATCGAGAAAAATCAGATTTTCCCTCATTTAAGTAAGAACAATATTCGGATTATCAGGATACTGTCAACCTCAACGAACACCTCAGTAGATTGAAGCTGAGAAACAACGGCGAATGCAGATTCTGTGGGGAAAATGGGGAAAGAGCAGAATACCTTATCACTGAGTGCGCCGAGACGACAACCGTTGGTGTCGTAAACTTTGGTACGGCTGATGTCGAAGATGGAGAGCTGACCTCTGTAGAGCCGTCTCAGATACTGGCTTTTGTCAAAGCCCTGAAACTGTATGATGAGTTATAATAATAATAATAGCTACCGTATACCGGGTGTTGCATCGTCGAGCGGGACATAGAAAATCTCATGTAAATTTTAATGGGGTCAATTATTGGCTTCCCTAATTATTTTAGAGAATAATTCTATTTAGGTTTATTGAAGAGCACTAAAATCCATATTCAAAAGAATAAGTTTAGATATTTTTGATTAGCCCGTTTACGAGTTATCGCCGATTTCTTTTTAAATATTTCTCCTTTCTTATGTGTGTCTTTCTGTATTTACTTATGAGCACCACAGTAAAGGTAAAAGATAACTGTCAAATGAAGTTTATCTATTTAGTGCTTTATTATTATTATTAAAAACTCATACCTACATCGAAAATATTAGCCATGAATTACACTACCGAAGAAAAAGTATTGATGATTAAATGGTATTATCAAGGAAATAGTTATCAAAAGGTGTCGGACATGTTTGCTGCTCTGTATCCGAATAGACCGATACCTGGAAAATCTACAATCGCGCTAATAATCAAGGAATATCCAGATATTTGAGAGCAAAGGTACCCTAATAAATAACTGCAGATGTGAAGTAAGGCAGGAACAAAGAGAAGATGTAAGAAATGATATCGACTTGGAAGTTTTATTGTGCGTTGAAGAGAACAAGGAAACTTGAGGATGGAATAGGAATAGATCACACTACAGCGTTTCGAATTTTGAAACGACATAAATACTGTTCCTTCAAATATGAAAAGCATCAAGAGCTACGAGATGGGGACGAAATACGGCGGCAGGCGTTTTGTTTTGATATGATGGAAAGAGCAAACACGGATAGGGAATTTTTAAAAAACATATATTTCACTGACGAATGCACGTTTACCTTAAATAATGAACCCAATGTTCAAAATTATCGATATTGTAACAAAGAAAACCAACACAGGTTTGTCGAAACAAGGACGCAATATCCACAGAAGTAAATGTTTGGGCGGGGATATTCGGACACAATATTATCGGGCCATTATTTCTTGCGCGAAATTTAAATGCAGAATATTATTTGGAACTACTCGAAAATCATATTTTACCAGCTTTACATGATGTCGCTAGGGAAAATCAGGAAGTTTGGTACCAAATGGATGGCCGCCCGGCACATAGTACCCTGGCTGTTCGGGAATATTTAGACAATAGTTTTAACGGAAACGTTATTGGCCTAAATCATACAGTAAATTGGCCAGCAAGGTCTCCTGATATTTCGCCAAATGATTCTCTGGGGCCATTTAAAAAACAGGATATACAAGGATAAAAAAATACCCAAATCTAGACGAGTTAAAAAATGCTATTTCTGCCGAATACAATAGAATTTTAGTTTACCAACTAGCGAATGTAAGAAGAGAATTTTATGATCGCCTGGGATATTGTCTAGCAGTCGATGGAATATTTGAACATCTTCTTAAATCCTAAAGTTCTAACAATTTAATAGTACCTAAATTAATAAGTTATTGAATATTGTAATAATACTATAATTAACCTTGTTGATTACTTTATTCTACTTTAATTCATATTAATTTGTATTTATAAATACATCTTTAAGATTTCCGATGTAGGAATGAGTTTTCAATAATAATAAAGCACTGAATAGGTAAATTTCTGAAATGACAACTTCATTTGACAGTTATCTTTTACCTTGACTGGTGCTCATAAGTAAATACAGGGCCATAAGAAAGGAGAAATATTTAAAATGAAATCGGCGATAACTCGTAAACGAGCTAATCAAAAATATCTAAAGTTATTCTTTTGAATGTGAGTTTTAGTGCTCTTCAATAAACCTAAATAAAATTATTCTCTAAAATAATTAGGTAAGCCAATAATTGACCCCATTAAAATTTACATGGGATTTCCTATGTCCCGTCGGACGATGCAACACCCGGTATACCTGTATGAAGAGTTATAATAATAATATTGCTCCCGTATATGCCTTGGGAGTAACAAGGTACAGCTTGCCATACTAGAGCCATTCGGTATACCTACAAGGAAGGTAATGTGGCTAGCACTACGCTTCAACCGCCTATTACCTGATGAGTTATAACCCACTATAACTGAAAAACACACAATACATCTGTAAGTTCAGGGTGATTAAACCCTCTCCTAAACATTCTACATGGTGCTTCATACAGCACACGCTAACCTAATTCTTGATAATGATTTATTAATCTTCAAAAAATTACTATAAAAAGAATGAAATTTTTCAAATAAAACTTCTCAGTTACTTTTTTTACATTTAAAATGTTTGCGCGTTTTCTATTTTAGCCTGACAAACGCTGTAAGACAACTAGGGTGTAACTTCTTTCCTGGCCTGATCAAGACCTTCGGCATTGAATTCGTAGACACCGTAGCCCGAGAACAAATGAAATCTATCTTCAGTACAGTACTAAAGGCTAGAAAGCAGTCAGATCATCACAAGAGCAATGATTTAGTAGACATTTTATTAGACGCTCGAGCTCACACGGAATCTGGAATCTGTAAGTAGAATAACCGATTCAAATTCGTAATTCTTTACATCGTACAGAATTTTCTCTTATTTTGACAAAACAAAGTCTCACAATATGCGAGCACACATTTTTCACAAAAAAATTGAGTGTGCACTATGTGCGCATAGTTGAAGTGAAACTTCTTAAGGTGCGTCCAGACCTGACGAGACGAGAGCGAAACTAGTGCGAGACATTCCAAATTCGCTAACTCGCGAGGCAACACACGGAGCCTCGTTGCTATCCGTCCTCTGTCGGTTTTGCGACGGCCGATCAAAGAAAGCTCGCGGCACACTCTAGCGTATTTTGGTAGGCTCCCTCGATTGCGAGATATTAGCTCTGGATTATGAATTTCGACTAAAAATGAAATAATCTCAATTTTTTTAAATGGAACACCGTATGCATTATCATTTTTCCTGATAGAATTTACAAATTCTGCGTCACTAATAATTTTTACCGTACCGAAATCTAACATTTCTTTAAACAAATTGAATTATTACAAAATCTATTAATTTTGGATATATGTATAGTATCACATGCAAAAAAATAATAAAATAAAAAATTGGATATTCTCATTAAAAAATATATGTTACATCCGCAACACTTTTTTGAAGTATCCTGTATACTCTAAAGTAATTTTAAAATGTGCTTCTTGACCGTCCCTATTTAACATTTTGTTCTAAAAAACGTTAAAAAACTATTTTGTAAAAGACGTCGTGTCTAGAAACAAATGAAGGTTTAAAGGGGAAAACAACCAGAGGGGAAAAAACGACGATGAATAAAATACGACAAACCAAATACCATGTTAAAGATACAAAAATTTATTACTGTATGCTATTATTTGGCCATCGTTTGTTATATTCAATTACAATTTAATGTGTTTGGGTTCCTTTCACTATGATCCAACTCGCTTGTCTCGTGAGAGGCTTGCCTCAAAAAATGGATAGATGTCTCGCTCTCGTCTTGCTCTCGTCTCGCTCTTGCCTCGCTCTCGTCTCGTCAGGTCTAGACGCACATTTACAGCGCTTTCAGAGGGAGCGGAGCGGCATATTTGGAATATATACCTTACCACAACGTCCCTTCGTGTTGATTTCGTGCATACAATAAAAATATGCAATGCCGCGGATAGGTTTTCAAAATATACCTCATTGCAACATTTTTGTGGGGTATAATTTCAAGCAGCGCATTGTGCAATTCTGAACTACTATAATATACCCGCTTGTGACTCCAGAGTTGCAATTACGCTATAGAGGTAGATCGAGCTATTATAAGGATTAAGAGAAAAAAGAGAAAGTTGACATGAGGATAATAAAGAAACGTTTTTACAAAAGAACTTTTTGTAATATGAAATAAAAACTAAAAGAACAAAAACAAGTTCTAACCTAAATAAAACCTAATTTCAATTTAGCGTGCATTAGGGACATTCATTTCAATATTCTGTCCTAGGTTATGCTTCCATTTCTTACTTGTAGATTTTCCAAGAGTTCTTCGTTCTGTGTTAGATGGCCGCCCACCTTGATCCTAAATTTGGTTGTCCTTGCTCGGATGTATTTATTTTTATAATTATTCTTGTAAATTTTGTAAGAGCTCTTAGATTGTGAAAAGTGTGTGAAGCGTTAAATTTCAGTTTTGAACTCTGCAACTACATTTTTGTATTGGTCCGGAAATTCTATAGTAATTTCTTGTGAACATGACGAAGGATTGGCATCATGCTGTATTTGCTGCAGCGATGGTTCTTGTATGGAAGAGCACTGTGCAATGCCCAAATTATTGTCCTGTGTTTCATATAATTTCATATTCATGAAAAAAGCTTTTCAGGAACATTGAACATGAGGAGAGTCTACATACCATCTTCAATTTGTCAAAATCCTTTGTTAAAATAAAAACGTAAATATGCAGTAGGCATCCTAGCCAATGAAAAGGTATTAGGCCGTCCGAGCGTTTATATGGATTATCGCTTCTATGGATGGGTAATTTCACTCTAGGCCAGTGATTCCCAAAGTGGTCCAGGTGGACCCCCAGGGGTCCACGGGAGACTTGCTGGGGGTCTACGTAGGCGTGAACAAAAAATGGGGGTCCATAAGATGTTAATGGGGGTCCACGAAAATTTATCTGCTTTTGATAGTAAAGAGCAAAAATGTAAGCATAGTTTTTATAAGGGCCTACCTACATTGTTTTAAGTACCTATCTAAGCAGATAATATTTTAATAAGGCAAGCGACTGTTACTTGTCCAAACTTGCGTATTCGATATTACGTACAATTTCGTGTACAGACTTGCAAAGCGCTATCCGCCCGACAATGCTTAATGCTTGTTCAGACATGAACTTGATCACCACTATAAATACTTGATGCCAAAGGCAAACGCATTCATTTGTTTCCGGAATTTCGAAAAAGGCGGAATTTGGAAAAAAGTTGCGAGAAAATTTATATCTGTGTTTGCTAGTGCCGGAGAAAAGTAAGTAACCTACCTTTTTTTGTTATAGTACTTAAGTATTTTGTTTACGTGTACTAGTCGGTTGATCACAACGGCCTGTATAGATAGGTAACTTAGTAACTTACAGATATTTTAATTGTCCTCTCTTTCGATTTGAAGACAAACACAGCACGTTTTATTCAATTGTTTTTTCACGAGAGAAACACTGCCTCTAAAAAGGCCGAATAAGCAATATTGCAGAGCAATTAATTTTGTAATTTTTCTTGCAAATAACTACTAATTTTATAAAACAGTAATTTCATAATCATTTTAAATTGGTTTTGAAGTAACTATTTTATCAAAACTATTCCTTTTCGGAAAGAGCGAGCGGTGCGCGGGCGACGGGAAAAGGGCGGGGCTTGACTTCGATGCCAGTTTGTCACGTTTTAACAATGAAGCCGCAGACAAAAATACGCAAATACACGGAGCGCGTGAACTCATTGATTTAATAAAATGTTAGTTATCGTTTTATGGACAATTTTGGGATTTCGACTTTTATTTTTCCCTACACAAATATGATCAGTATTCGATACTGAGTACACCAATTTTTATTTATACTATTAAAAAATTAGTGGTAAATTATGTACTTTAAAATTGATACCGTTTTGTGAAAACGTCTGTATTTGTCTCTGCGGTTTATTAGTTGGTCCCTTTACAAGCCGTAATTCTATTTCCGCGTGCTGACAAAGGCTGCGGTGTGATACCTATATTCAGAAAAAAAAAAACTTGGTTACTAAAACTTTTTTTTACAGGTAAGGTAACTGACACGAAACATGGCTACAGCAAAGAAAAAATGTCGACAATATAGTATCGATTATTTGAAATATGGTTTTGTTCCATCAGAGGCAGACAAACAATTGCCCATGTGCCTATTATGCAACAAAGTTTTGAGCAATGACTCTATGAAACCATCAAAGCTCGAAGATCATCTAAAAAGGTGTCATACTGATAAAATAGGTAAAGATTTAAAATATTTTCAAACATTGAAAGAAAAATATGGAAAGAGACCCACCATGCACAGTATGTTCGCTTCAACATCTCAAAGTAACGATGATGGCTTGCGGGCATCTTACAATATCTCATTACTTATAGCAAAATCTGGAAAACCGCACACTATCGGAGAACAATTAATTTTACCCGCTGTTGAAGAGGTTTTAAAAACTGTTTTGCACAAATCTCCATTTGACGTACTAAAAAGAATTCCATTAAGTAACAATACTGTACAAAGACGCATTGATGAAATGAGCTCTGATATCGAAAGCTTTTTGTGCAATCATCTGCAAAAAACTCATTTTTCTATACAACTGGACGAGTCAACGTTACCCAGTAATGAAGCATTACTATTGGCATATGTCCGATTTATTGTTGAGGAAGAAATTCACGAAGAATTGCTATTTGCCAGAACTTTGGAGACTGACACTAAAGGCGAATCAATATTTAATGTCCTGAGTAATTTTTTTACGGAAAAATCGATCCCATTTACAAACATTATTTCAGTGGCAACAGACGGAGCTCCTGCAATGGTCGGGCGATATCGTGGGTTTATAAGTCATCTCAAAAGAATTATACCAGGACTTACAGCTATTCATTGCGTAATCCACCGACAACATCTTGTGGCAAAACATTTAAGTGACAGGTTGAACCAATCTCTTCATTTTGTAATAAAAGCTGTCAACAAAATCAGAAGCAATGCATTGAATACGCGTTTATTTGCTCAATTGTGCGACGAAAATGATGAAGACTTCCAACGACTGCTCTTACATACTGAAGTACGCTGGTTGTCGAAAGGTGCATGCTTAACGAGATTTTACTCTGTTTTCGATTCCATATTAGAGTTCTTAGAAAGTAGAGATCCAGATTTAAAAGAAAACTTGATCAAATTCAAAGCAGACATTGCGTATTTGACAGATTTGTTTAAAAAATTTAATGATATTAACTTGCAGTTACAAGGGGACAGCCTGAATTTAATAAAAACAAAGGGGATAATTTCGGCTTTTCTTGGGAAATTGAAATTTATGAAGCAAAACATTAGTCGGCGCGAATTCTCTCAATTTCCAAACTTGTCGCAGGTAGAATGTATTGATGAGGATATCCATACCTACAGTCAACATTTAAGTGCTCTGCATGATGACTTCAAAACCAGGTTTGAAGATATACTGACGATGGATATACCACCATGGATCATAAATCCATTTGATGAAACGGAAGTGGCCAATGTTGTATTACAAGAGGAGCTGCTCGAGCTAAGCACTAATGAGGAGCTGAAGGTGAAATTTAGAAAAGGCTACCCAACATTTTGGCTGCAAGCAGAAATACCCGAAAAATATCCTGGACTGTGGGAAATCGCAAGGAAATTTTTAATAGCTTTTCCCTCGTCATACCTTGTCGAAAGGAGTTTTAGTGCCGTTACAAACCTCTTAACAAAAAAAAAGGAGCAAATTAAACATCACAGAGCGGGGGATTTGCGGGTTATTGCTCACAAAAATAAAGCCAAACATTGATCGTTTGCTGACACTCCATCAGATACATCCTTCCCATTAATTAAAATTATGACCTGAACCTATATTACCTTAATATTTTTCTTGTAATTCTATTCTTTTAATAAATAAAGTGATATAAAATGTACCATTTTTCGTTTTTATTTTACATATCGGAATATAGGGACAGAACTCAGAAGTGACACAATTTTTATTTTTTGGCGACTTTAAGAATGTGGTAGAAATGTAGCAGCAGGGGGTCCACCGAAACCAGTAAAATTTTGACAGTGGTCCACGAGAAAAATAAGTTTGGGAACTACTGCTCTAGGCTAATAACGTGTATCTTTAGGTTGCTTTAGGCTTATGAAGTTATCACTTCGTAATATACACTTCTGTTTCACCTTTGCACTTTATTTACCGTTTTTGCATTAAAACTATTTATTTCTAAACTTATCCGAACTGGAACACATAAGTAACTCAACCAAACAATACTACATGTTGACAAAATATGACGAAACGTAAACAAAATATTGCAGCGAGTAAAAATGAGGGAACAAAAATAGCCCCCGTATCAACATGGTGGAATGTTGCGATCGGGTATGTTTTAAAATACCTACGTGCCCATAAACTTGCAATTGAAAGAATACCCGATGCCAACCGGTCTCAAATGTTAGGCAAAGGTATACTTTAATGAAGTACACTGTAACATTTTTTTGTTTTTGATAATATACACGAACTCAACATGAAGGGACGTTGTGGTAAGGTACATATTCCAAATATGCAGCGGAGCGTCCGCGCGGACCGTCCGCGTGTTTTTTCAAGATAGCCGTCGACGAACTAATCCGGACGGAGCATACACGACCCATGTGAAATTGTTCATATAAACCCATGGTACTTGCTCGAAGTCGCGGACGGTCCGCTCCATCTGAAAACGCTGTTACAAAGTGCTGTTAACAGCTATTAAATTGAAAGATTTCAAGGACATGTTTGAAAAAATGTATAGTTTGAAATGTTGAAAAAGTAATAAATTAAAAATTAACAAATAATTTGATTCATTTTCACAAAATTTCTGTGTATGTGGACTATCTATTCCTAACTCTATTCACGTGCCGAGTTTGGTTCCAATCGACCCATAATTAAGAAATATCCTGATAATTTCGTCCATTTAGAGATATCGGTTCGAAACGTCATCCTGTAGCTGTCCTTGGATCGCGATTGGACGACATCAACTTTTGACGTTTCTTACGTCAAAACTAACTGTCACAGTGACACGGTTAAGTTGGCCTTGGTCCAATCTATAAACATACCAAATTTCAGTTAAATCGGACGATTTTTTCGCCATTGATGATGGGGTTTCATAGTGCACGAAATGTCATCAAAATATCATGAAAAGATGGGGCTGTTCGAATTTTTCTTTCAAACAAGATGTTAAAACTTTATTGCACTACACACGATAATACATAACAACAACAGAATTATACCTGTTTCAGCTGATGACATGATTTTGGGACAAGCAATTCAATTTTTCATGGCCGGTTTTGAAAGCGTGGCTTCCACAATAAGTTTCACTTTGTACGCTCTGAGTATGGATGAGGAAATTCAAGAAAGATTACGGTTAGAAATATTGGAAAACATCGAGGAAAATAATGGTTTAACATACGAAGGAGTCAACAGCATGAAATATCTGAATATGGTGATTTCAGGTTAGTTGAACAACCTATCTTTTAGTGACGTGATTAAGCTTGACCGGCACAGCGATGCCCACTTTTACATGTTTTCTTTTAATCAAAATATTTTAGGAAACAAAAATAAATTAATTATCTACATATATAAAATGCTAATGTTTATCTGTGTGTCGTCTCTACTGAACTAACGACTTGCTCTAGAAAGTTGCTTGTTTTACTAAAAGATAGCTAATTGACTCTTCTAAAAACTGTCGTCGCCGGATTTTTTGTTTTTCATTTAATTAAACAAAAATTAAAAAGTATTTTTTTCCTGATGTCGTGGCGGATGCGCCAGGCTTCAACTAGTAAATATATAAACAGTTATTATTTACTTCAACAAAACTCACCTTCTTAACAGCACTTAAGGGACATAAAAGGCCATTACTACCGCTTTCTCGTTCAAAATATTCTAATAAAGTTGCGATGAGTTTTTTACGTCTATTAAGCTATCTTGTACACTTCGCACTAAAAGAGGTTCTAAAAAGAACAATGTTCGACTGCAAGGTCTGTTAGTAAACATTTTTAAGCTTAAAGCATCAAAACACTATTTATTTAAACCAAAAACTCGTAATACAAAACTAAAGTGTCAAAACGAATGAAAATGTCAGGAAATAAATAAATAAATGCAACTTCACATTTTTTACAGCAGAGCTACCACCTGAATTCCCAGCGCAAAATTGATATTCCAGTTAGTCATGGCAGTACAGCACGGAATATGTTGCTATGGTTGTCAACAATGAATTAAAAAATCGCGCCCTTGATTACGTAACTAAAAGTTTAACTGATATCAAATATATATCGAATTTACTGTATAAAAATATTTATTTAACATGTTCTTCTCCTAACCCAAATAACTGCAGTTTTTGTGTACAACTTCGAATAGTTTTCAGATTTACTATCTTAGTTAGTTAGCTGTGACCATATTGTTTTGTTTATTTATTTTGCAGAAGCATTAAGAAAATATCCAGTACTGCCTTTCTTGGACAGAGAATGTACGTCAACCTACAAAGTCGAAGGGACTGACTTGGTGTTAGAGAAAGGGCAAGCTATTTATATATCGGCATTCGGAATGCACTACGACGAGAAATACTTTCCAGATCCTGACAAGTTCGATCCAGAGAGATTTTCTGATAAAAATGAGATAAACAAAGAAGGTTTCTACTATACGCCTTTTGGGGAAGGCCCTAGAATATGCATAGGTAAGAATAATATCACTATGTTATATCTATCTATACCTGATATGCCTATGCCACTATGTCTATACTCTATAAGTATACTGCGGGATCATTCTTAATACTAGTACTAAAACATACACGTACGAAGTATATGTATATCGTAAATACATTATTATGATATATTGTATAGTTTGTTCAGACCTCGAAACCAGTGGCGAAGCTTCCATGGATGCGGGTGATGCGTCGCATCCCTTCAAAATATTGTAATACGTTTTTATTTAAAAAAGTCACTGCGCGATGATGCGACTGTCCTCGTTATATCTTGAACGCCGAAGTCCGAGCGCAAGTCCAGGTCAGCGAACTTTCCGGCCGCGATTACGTCTCCCGTTCGCTGTTTTAGTCGGTGGGTGATACGTAACGTAGGTTTGCCAACAGTCCTCTATTTCAGATGACAGTCCACTTGTTGATCTCACTGTCCTCTTTTCTCTCGAGTATTGAAAAAGTCCTCTTTTTTACATAAACAAAATCTAAAAAATATTCGTCTATCGCCACAACTTTAAAAATATAACTTTAAAAAATTGTTAATCTGTGTCTTTCGCTACTCCCACTTGTTTGTACAGAAAAGAAAAGGAAAAAATATTTTTGTACAGGGACATAATTTAAGTGTCTCACTCAATTTATAATTTTTCTGTTTCATATTTAAAGATAGTAGAAAGATTTTCTAATGTATTTTTTGCGACGATGCCTATTTTCTACCTCAACATTTTTTAAAACGTCAATTTTGAAAGATACGACGCCATCTTGATTTTTTTAAATGAAAACCTTCTCATATTTTAGCATCTTCCGGTAGACATATTTTAGCTAATTTCAAAAATATAGTTTAGTATACTTTGCTTTTACCGTTTTCGATATACAATGCATTTAAAAACGAAAAATTTCACAATCATTTTAAGTGTCTCACCCAATTTAAAATATTCCAGTTTCATATTTTAAGATAGTAAAAAGATATTTCAGTGTAATTTTTCGCCAGGATGCCGATTTTATATCTAAAAATTTTTTAAAACGCCAATTTTGACAGATACGACACCATGATTCTGGAACATTTCATTTTTAAATGCACTGTATATCGAAAACGGTCAGTGCAAAGCATAGTAAACTATATATTTTTGAAATTAGCTAAAATATGTCTACCGGATGATGCTAATTTTTGTGGGGGTTTACATTTAAAAATCAAGATGGCGTCGTATCTGTCAAAACTGACGTTTTAAAAAATTGGCATCTTCACGAAAAAATACATTAAAATACATTTTTACTATCTTAAAATAAGAAACAGGAAAATTTTATTTTTAAATGCACTGTATATCGAAAACGGCCAGTGCAAAGTATACTAAACTATATATTTTTGAAATTAGCTAAAATCTGTCTACCGGATGATGCTAAAATTTGTGGGGGTTTCCGTTTAAAAAAAATGAAGATGGCGTCTTATCTGTCAAAATTGACGTTTTAAAAAATTTGCAGATAAAATATCGGCATCCTCGCACAAAATTACATTAAAATATCTTTTTACTATCTGAAAATGGGAAACAGAAAAATTTTAAATTGAGTGAGACACTTAAAATGATTCTGGAACGTTTCATTTTTAAATGCACTGTATATCGAAAACGGCCAGTGCAAAATATAGTAAACAATATATTTTTGAAATTAGCTAAAATATGTCTACCGGATGATGGTAATTTTTGTGGGGGTTTACATTTAAAAATCAAGATAGCGTCGTATCTGTCAAAATTGACGTTTTAAAAAATTTTCAGATAAAAAATTCGCCTTCTCACCAAAAAATACATTAAAATACATTTTTACTATCTTAAAATAAGAAACAGGAAAATTTTATTTTTAAATGCACTGTATATCGAAAACGGTCAGTGCAAAGTATACCAAACTATATATTTTTGAAATTAGCTAAAATCTGTCTACCGGATGATGCTAAAATTCGTGGGGGTTTCCGTTTAAAAAAAATGAAGATGGCGCCTTATCTGTCAAAATTGACGTTTTAAAAAATTTGCAGATAAAATATCGGCATCCTCGCACAAAATTACATTAAAATATCTTTTTACTATTTCAAAATGGGAAACAGAAAAATTTTAAATTGAGTGAGACACTTAAATGATTATCCACGCTACGCCACTGTCAATGGCCAAAACAATAATATTTTATTACTCTTTGCTGCAGGTAACAGATATGGATTATTAGCTGTCAAAGTAGGAATAGCTTCGATCCTGTCAAAATACAAAATACGGAAAAGCTTGAAAACGCCCGAGAAGATAAAATTCGATCCAAAAAGTTTTTTGATCCAATCCTACGGCGGAGTACCAATAAAAATTGAAGCCTTATAAACACATATCAACTGACTAATGAATTGAAACATTCACTGACACGAATCAACATATGTGATTCAAGAATTAGCAAGGTTTTGACTTTCAAAAAGTCGTTCAATAGAACAAGAAGGATTCATAATAATAGAAACCTAACTTGTCATAAGTTTGTGATTTTTAAGTAGTTTTTCAGGCCATGATAGATTTTTCAGATATTGCATAAAAAATGCTTCATATTCTGATTTTTATAGCTTTTAACACTATAAACAATATAGGAATAATAGTCCAATACATATTTATTGACAATCCCTTTTTAAAAGTATATGTTTATGATATTTTATTAGTAATTTCATTAATTTGATTTAAGCTTGTAATAGAAATAAAAATATATTTTAATACTATGTATTTATTATTTCTGTCAAAAATTAACAGAGAAAATAAATCTAAACGTTATCAAATATGTTTAAAAAACCTAATCATGTGTATGTAAAAAAGAAGTGAAATGTACCAACACAAACTAAAAATTAACAACAAAACAAAGACTTACCTTTTCTCTGAGCATGTCCCTCGTTCTAGTAGCCTGAGTCCTGCTCCTGTGCAGCTCCAACTGGAGTTCCAGGCAGCGTTCCTTCCAGTTAATATCGCCCCCAGTAGCTGCGATGGTGCTGGTACCAGCTCTAAAGGACTCCAAAGAGTCTGGACGTGGGACTGAGGTAGATAAACTAGTACCAGCACCTGATGTAGAAGCACCATCTCTGGCCCGACGGGGTAGAAGTCTGGGAGAGCTCGGTGTTGATTGGGAGAGTCTGAAATATGTATTAAAGAGATCGTTAATAGAAGCACAGGTTAGGTATATTAAATGTATACAGATAAAAATCTTGTCCCTAATTCGTGGTACAAAAATTGTTTTTAATGAAAAATAAACTCGCGTTTAAACAGCGTAATAACTGGGCCGGTCAGGCGCTGTGCACATTTTTAGAGGCCATAAGTACGCGTGCTATGTGCGCAAACTAGTAACCTAACTAGTACGCGACTCCGAAAATTGGAACGACGAAAAACAATGATTTTGACGATAAGTTTATAATCTGTATAATCTGTGATAGAAGACTCATTTTGGAGGTTCATTGCCATTAATTTTTAACAACTCTACAATTAGAATGTGATAAATTTAGAACATTTGGTGTTACAATAGCAAAATATCACCAAATATCACTAATTTACCAAATTACACCACTGTAATTTACACATTCAGATAAAAAAAAACGCAACGGAATTTTTTTTCGTCAAGTTTAAAGTGTTTTTGCTTCTTCTGAAAATTTGACAATTATACAAGGTTAATCGAACAGTTGTTTTTACCCTATCTTTAAAACATCCTGCGCAATAATTTCGTGAGTAGATTTTCCCAAAACATTATTTTCGGTCAGAACCATGTCTCCTGAATATTTTATTTTTTTACTCATTTCAACACAACCTTGGTTAATCTTTAAGAGCGAAATGACATTGCCACAAACATTTTGCAACTTTTTTCAATTATCGTTACTTTTTGATGTTATTCTTCATAATGATGAGGTGGCTTTGGTGATTGGTGATTATTGTTGTATACGATTGAATATGATTCTTAGTGTCGTAGATTGTGCAAAAGTCATTGATCTTGTTAAAAATGGACGAAATTATGAATATTCGCTTGGTCCTTGAAGAAGAACGGGAAAACATAACAAAATATATTTGCAGCCTCATTAACAGTATGAACTGACGTCTACAGACAGTTATAGCAGTCAAGATAGGTAATACAAAGTATTAGAATATGTTTTATAAGTATTTTGTTTGTTTGTACACTTAGTTATTATAGTTATTTTTTTAATATCCTTTTAGTTCTGCTAGTGTTACTAATATTTATTAAAGCCAAGCCTGTATCGTTACCTTTTAACATTTTTTAAATTTTAATATGGAGTTCTAATCAGTGTCGATATGACATTACCACCAAAGCCACTTTGTAATATTAAAATATAACATCATAAAATAATGATAGTTGAAAAAACTGCAAACTGTTGGTGGCAAGTTCATTTCGCTCTTAAAAATTAACCAAGGCATGTGTTGACATGAATCAAAAAACAAAATGCACAGAAGACATGATTCGGATCGAAAAGTAATGTTTTAGGTAACGTTATGAACGAAATTATTGCACAGGGTGTTTTAAAATTGCGGTAAAAAACTTCAATTCACCCTGTATAATAAGCCAAATACTAAAGTTTATACAAAAGTGAGTTTATGAATTAAAGTTGATAGATTTATATACAGTATGCTAAAAAAATCATAAAAATGGGGCTAAAGGAAGAAAAATATAATACTTTGAATTTGACGAAAAAATTCTCCGTTTTTTTTGACATCTGAGTGGACTTTATACATTTTTATAAACATGTTTATTATTGGTAACAATATTAAAACTATTTTTAGTAAATACCATTACATTTTTCTCATTTTTGGTTGATTGACTTTATTCGTCATTTATTAATGAGACTCAATTATCCTGAGATTATTATTAATTCTATTTAGTTCTGTCAATCTGAAGAAGAATCGACAAAACGAAATGTATGTCGGTGCGACAACCTGGCAAATGTTCAAATTTGGTTCTCTGTAACAGCCAATAATAAGCCACAGAACCTTGGAGCCTCCTGGAGGGTTCAGTCTTCAAGTTGCTAGACTTTTTGAGAAGGATAAGACTGAAGAAAGACAGAAGAAGATTACAATCGGAAAAGGTTACAGTGGATCAGACCGATAGCCACCTCGAAAAATCTAATCTAAAGCTTCATTCATAATCACACAAGTGGAATTAATTGCACCATTATAGTGGAATAAATTAGTGGTTTCAATTATACTTTATACTTTTTAGTTTACGATCATTCACAATGTCTAAAAAACACAATTAAAATTAATAGGATATCCTAGCAACAGTGTATCCAAAGAGAAAGCTTAATATTTAGTTTACAAAACAATCCACTTTTGATTTCTAACCACAGTTTCTCTTGACGGATGATAATCAAAGGCTAAAATGACATTTCTCGCAAATTTTGAAGTATAATTAACGATGGTAAAGCTTCATTCAGAACCTCGAAATCAGTGGAATAAATTAGTGGTTTCAATTAGCTGTAGAAGTTTGTTCACCTAATTTTAATGTAAGCATTCAGAACGCCATAATTAGTGGTAGTAATTTTCAATTATTGGAAAAAGTTAACAAACGTTTGACTTTTCCACTAATTATACATCAAAATTTGCGAGGCATGTCATTTTGGCCTTTGATTATCACCCGTCAGGAAAAATTTTGGTTAGAAATCAAAAGTTTATAGTTTTATGGTGCGTTTAGACTTGAGCACGCACGAACTGGGCCCGTATTCTGTAACTTGGACATAAAAACGTTACGCTTTCAAAACAGTGAGCGCAAGTATTCGATCAGCGAAACGCAAGGCAGTCGATTTTGGCATTCTCGTTGCCATGCGAATCGTGTTCTGGATACGCGTTGAGCACATATTGGCAACATCACAATTTCTAAGTAGCTGATAGTCAAAAGTTGATAACTGACGGATGTAACAATGGAAAATGTCAATGTTACGTGAATTTCATAACCTATTATTGAGTTATGTCAAGCTATTTTTCTATTTATGTCATTATTCGTATTATACGAGGGAAATGTTGAAGACGCTTATCAGCATTTCCGATGTTTTGAACAATATTTATAGCTGCCAAGTCGTAAATTATCAATTACTTATTGAGGAATTTATAGAAGAAGCAGTAATTTTCACTAAAGAGCAAGATAACGCACAACATCACACTATTTTCGATTTTCACTGACAGTTCGACAAGCGATCATTCGTTCATCAAATCAAAGCGCTCAGCGCAATCAGTAAAGACGCTAAGCGCGTTAGACGAGAATACCGAAATCATTAATTAAGTGCGTGCTCAGCGAAAATTAACGTCATATACGTTGAACGTCTAAAAGCGCTTAGCGTTTTCAAAGTTACAGAATACGGGCCCTGAGCGTGCGCGCACGGCATTCGTTCGCGCTCTCGGCTCCGTTCAAATTAAAAACTTATTTTTCGACGAATGAAGTGATCCATTTGTGCGCGCACAGCAGAGTTGTGTTGGCGAAAATAATGGACGACCAAGAAATAGTCGAGGCTGAAGTCATTGTTATGCACAGCTTAATTATAAAAAGAAGAAAAATCGAAAACATCGTCGCTGATGGCAAACACAAATTTTTAGAAATCGATATAATTTACTGCAACAACTTAGTGTCTGAGGAGGGCTATGATCAGTTCAAAAGCTTTACAAGAATGACCAGGCCCGACTTTGACTATTTACAAAATTTAATAACACCAAAAATTACGAACAAAAGATACAAATTTTAGAATAGCAATTTCATTAATATCGACATATTCAATATTAATTTTATTTACAAGGTCTTGCCATGCGTTATTTTTTTTTTGATTTTTTAATAATACAAAGAATGTTTAACATCCCATAATATAGGCAACTTTTTATATTCTTCTATTAATAATAACGAAGATTCATTGATCCACTTCATAATTTTAATAAAGAAAACGAAAAAAAATCACACACGCACGCAAGAACGCAGACAAAACAAATTGCCGGTCCAAACTGAGCGTTCCCGCACACATAAAATCCCTTTGAGCACGGATCAAAAACCGACACCAGACGGCTCACGTTCGCGGCTACTCGCGCACAGATAGATTCAGAGTGAGCGTGAGCCACTTACACTTGAGCATTCGCGGAGGATCAGTGCGTGCGTGCTCAAGTCTAAACGCACCATAATAAGTTAAATATCATGGGTTCTCTATGGATACAACATACTACCACAAGCTGTTGCTAGGATTTTTTATTAATTTTAATTGTATTTTTTAGACATTGTGAATGATCGTAAATTAAAACTTCATTCAGAACCTCGAAATCAGTGGAATAAATTAGTACTTTCAACTAGCCGTAGAAGTTTGTTCACCTAATTTTAATGTAAGCATTCGGAACGTCATAACTAGTGGTAGTAATTTTCAATTAGTGGAAAAAGTTAACAAACTTTTGACTTTTTTACTATTTATACTTCAAATGCGAGGAATGTCATATTGGCCTTTGATTATCACCCGTCAAGAAAAATTTTGGTTAGAAATCAAAAGTTTATTCTTTTATAAGCTAAATATTATGCGTTCTCTATGGATACAACAAACTACCGCAAGCTGTTGCTAAGATTTTTTATTAATTTTAATTGTGTTTTTTAGACATTGTGAATGATCGTAAACTAAAAAGTATGAAGTGTAATTGAAACCACTAATTTATTCCACTAGTTGGGAGGTTCTGAATGAAGCTTAATGGAAAAGTTACAAGTTTGTTAACTTTTTATACTAACTGAAAATGACTACCACTAATTTTGAAGTTCTGAATGCTTACATTGAAATTAGAGAAACAAACTTCTACGCTAATTGAAACCACTAATTGCGAGGTTCTGAATGAAGCTTAAGTTTAGAAAAAAGCTACATTGTAGCGAAAAATGTTCGGAAAATGTGTACTCCCTGTAATCAGTGTCGAAAGAAATATATATTTAGAAATAAACTTGAGAAACAGGGCCAGAAAATGGACGGTAATAAACAAAAATCGTAAAACAGAGCGTTTATAGGACTGCTTTATGGCACTTTTATCGATCGCAATTTGTTTTTCTCTCCATTTTGGCAATTAACGCGTTCCGTCGTATCCTCCATCATCGTCATCGGACGTCCTGCGTCCAGTTACCATTTCCGATGGT